GTTCTCCTGCATGGTCTCTGACATCATCTCAGTGGCAGCAACCATCTTCTCTCCTAGGAGCCTGATGTCACTAGTGGCCCTGTCCACAGTACTGGCCACAGAATGCACTGAAGACCTCAGCTCCTCCACGCTCTCCTGATGGGACAAGTCTGGAGGACAGTGGACTTCAACGAACCGTGTCTTCCTATTGGCATGGTTTAATGGACTTGGTGGTGCCGTGTGAACACGTCGACTGCAGCCTGGAGAGTCATTCGTGGCTGCTCTCCGACAACTCTGGTGCTGGCGAGAAGGACTTTCCTCTGACTCGCTGTCAATTTTTTCAATTGCGTCATCTCAGAGCAAAAACAAAGGAACAATATTAATATGTGAGAAAAACTTGCAAGTCCAATTTAATTGCACCCCTTGAACCCTCAAATTAATACCAGTTCTATTGTATTGGACACGGTAACAATAGCTCGACCCCCAAAGGAAATTAATGCTTGAAATTTTATCATGATTAACCTATAGTGTGGATTAAAATACATGCTCAATTTCAAATGAGATAAGACATAATGTGAGATACATAACATGGTCCAAATACATAATGAGAGAAGTTAACCATCTAAAATCAAGACCTGTTGTCAAATACCCATGTGAATTAGTGCCAAACAATACATGTTTTGTCATCTTTTTGGCACTATAAGGTCAACCTATAGATTAGTGATGGCTGTGTCTTCAGTATTGCATGCTGTTGATCCTTAGAGACACAGACAAAGAGTTTTCAAATAAGGACAGGCCCAAAGCTGAAACTTATCAGCATGGATTGGGACAGGTTCCTTTTCTGACCCTACCGGCCCTGAATAGTTTGTTCCTGTTCTAGCAAGCTCTACCATATAAAGACAGCCATCTTCTCAGGAAATGAAAATCCCATCTTTCTTTTGCAAACGTGATTCACATGTCAGATTTCTGCATGGCTGTTTAATTGGTGTCTGCATGATGTCCACAGCATACATGCTATATATATGTACAGATTGATCTTGGCTGAATATAGTACTTAGTATTTTGTTACAGTTAATGTTACAGTGCTTTTAATTGTAATATGTCACGTGTCTGTGAAAAGGTGCTTACAGAAACAATCTCTGAGCTCTTACCAATCGCCACGGACTTGCACAGAGACGCAGAAGAGCTGTTGACACCCTCATCCCACAGAGCTGTTCTCTGCCTGCGGAGTTGACAATTTCCTGGTGTCTCAAACTGAGGTTTGACATGTAGGAAACCAGATTTCCTGCTCCTCTCCCCTGGCTTCCTGCTGGCAAAAAGCAGCTTCTCTTTGGTGTGGCGCTTCAAGATGTCCCAGCTCTTCTTGAGACCACTGCAGTTTTTCTTGGTAGGAGAGACAGGGATAATACTCTCCCTCATTTCTCACAGATTGGATTGTGCTGGAAGCTGAGACTTGGTAGGAATTTGCAGTGATGTTTTGCAAAGTTCTTTGGGCCACTGAAACCGACTTTAATTGGATACAGTATGCTGACACTGTGTGCTTGATTTTTAATTGATTACCTCAGACCAAGGTTGTGTAGGGAAAAAGCAGGGTTAAACAGGGTTATAGATAAGGAGAAGACTCAAAGAAAAAATGTTCTCTTTTAGGTTGAAATCTGTAGGGTGGAGATGCAGAATGCACCTTTTCTTGAGTGATTAGAATCCCAGGATTAAGACAAACTCCGATTTAGATATCCACATAAAGAACAGATTTGCAGCTCTGATGCACACATTTGATCGATTAAAAAAAGCTGACATTTTTATCCAAACCATCTTATAGCATTTAGGAGCTGAACTATGTATAATTGGTACCCTCTGCAATAAAAGGACATTTGCAGAACTTCTCATCCAAAGGAAACTTGCTCAGCACAGTGAAACAGTGGTACAGTTAATGCTTGAATCCGTATTCACCTCATAACAAGCTCTTTATATTGATCACTGAGTCATAGAAATAAGCCTAACCTGTGTACACAGGTTATCCAAGCCATGGAATTACAATGAGACCATGAGACACTTTAGCCTTTTTCCTGCTCCTATTGACCCTTATCAGTTTTGTTCAAAACAATACAAATTATCTTGTCCTTTTCTCTTCAGTGGAATACGAAACATATATAAAATATGTGTAAAAAAAATCATAATTCAACAGATTTCACAGACATCCTGTGAATTCAGATTTACATGATTTTCATGTTGACTCATTCTTTCTTTTGTGTATGTTTCCAAAACTACATACACACAGGGTTATAGGAAAGAATAATTTTCCCATTTCCATTTTGACATTTTGAAATAATCATCAAATTTCTTTTTGGAATCTACATGTAATAGAAAATATTAAAAAATAATCTCTTACTCAGCTGTGTATGATTATTGTGGATGGCATGAATGTTGTGCTGGACAAATCTCTTAAGATCAGTTAATATCTTCAGATGGCCACTGACTCTTCAGCCAGTTAGCCACCTTGAACGGGCAATTCCTGCTGAATAACTTCTTTGTGAATGTCAATACAGCAGAACTAAGGTCATTGCAGCTCTGTAGACAGTAAGCCACAATGATAATAATGCCAGACAAAACCTTTAACAATTACCTTTAAGTTATGAAGGGATTTGTCAATTATTGATTGACAATGGATTACTCTCAACCCAGATTGTTGGATGATCATTATGAATGATCAGGAAGCAAAAATGAATTTTTTGGTCATTCAAATATCACATGGTCCACTCCTGAGCATGTGTGATGGTTTTCCAAGGAAACATACTTGAAACTTCACTGGATAGATGGGATGCAGGCAGTATTGTTTTAAGCGAAACAGGTTTAGCAATGTGATTATCTTTTTCCCAACTGTGCATCCCTTTACATGTGATAAATATATGAGTGTTTGTCTAATGTTTGTTTTTATTACTAAAGAAAAAAAGGCCAAATACTATACAAACCTGTTAAATGATTCAGTTTCCTGATTGCAGCTGAACTGATACACCAGACAGCTACATGGAGAGAGAGTGGAAAAAACATCTAATCCCTCTAAATCCCAAAATGTATTTACCCTTTGTGTGTGAAGATTTTCTTTGAAGCCTGATTTACAGAATATTAACATTCTTCAAATAAAATTTAGGTTTTTTTTTCTTCTTCTAGTGAGAATAAGACAGCGCACCATGCATACAGAGAAAATTATATTAAGGTGCAGTGGACGCTCTCAGATAACAAACCCTCTGTCTCATTCTCTTTCAGAAAAGAAGATTAAATTAAGAGCTATTTATATATATTTTTTTGCCATTCAACTTTCTCCTTCAAATCTTTGAGACTGAAAGAACAATGGGACAGCAGATAAAGGAAAGATGGTTAAAAGGCGTTCTGCTTGAAGCACTGAACAGATTTCACCCATGAGTAAGAAAATTAAAAGCAAGAAAGCGGTGGTCTACAATGAATTCATAAATCAGTTAAGGGATACATGTACTTAATAAAACAAGCAATATGAAACAGGGTTCAATTCAACAAAGGGAAGATAATGAGTAGCAATCACCTTTTTACTGGTAAAAAGGAAGTTATAAAGGCTAGGAGGGGATATTAATGGGAAGGTTTTATATGAAAAAAGGGAAATGACCTTATTAAGTGCACATTTCACTTAGCTGAAGACCTCAGGTGTATAATTACATATAAAACATATATTTTAACTTTAAAGGCAGTGCATAAGGTCTCTGACTTCTAAAAATTGGGCTTCAAAGAAGAGGACGAGAGGTTTTGCAAGCAATGAGATTAGGCTGAAGAAATGAGGGGTAAACCGGTGAGAAATACTGTCCTGCAATATGAGCACGTGCATTTTGAACACACAAACAAAAGACGTTGTACACATCTTCAGGGGTAAATGCACAGCAAGTAAACAGACCACACCCAAAACAAGGATTCAAAATCCCCGAAGGTATTGACAAGATCAACCAAAACACAAACCAGAGACATAGCTTTTCCCAAGGAATTGTGGGAATTTCAAGCAACCTAGCCAAGGATGTTGGTGAAACCGTTACCCTGGATTCCTTTCAGGAAAGGCTCGATGAAACCCTTGACTCCTTCACCTACAGTAATCCCTCCCAAATGACAGATGAACCATAAGGCCTCCCCTCATCTGTACTCTTTCATATATTCTTAAGGGAAGCACTTTGCCTGACATCTCTGGTGACACAGCTCCTTGGTTTACTGTATGTCAGTAACAGTGAATTCCCTCACAGGAGAAAGGCAAGCTTTTCTTGTTGTGGAATTGGTATCACGGTCGTCATCCGTCATTGTCAAAGGGCGCTCTGACCTTTTATTATTAGTTTTATTCTTACGTGCCCCTGTCTCCTGTTTAACTCGTCACTATATAAGTTACATGCCTCCTAAGCTCTGTGCACAGCACTGGGAGACGGACGCCTGGAAGCCCGCCTACCAGCGGGTCCTGGAGAGACTCGATGCCATAGGCTTCCTCACGGCGTCCTGACCATCTGGGTCTGGTACTCGGAGCGGCTGGCCTCGTCATCGTGTTTTTAACTTCCCTGTTCCTGTTCTGACGCGGTTCCTGTTTTTTAACTGTTTGTCTTGGATTGATCTCCCGGCTCCCCGGACTTTGGACTGCGCCCCGTTTTTCCCTTTTGGACTCCCACTGGACTTGTTTGCCTGCGCTCCCCCTCGGACCTGGATCACCGTCGGCACCACCCCCTGTCAGTCTTCCCATCCCTTCCTCTCTGTGTTTTCCCTATTGTCCTTCTCCAGTCTCCCGGATTATACCGTCTGCATAGGGTCCTAAACATGCACTACACAGGAGGCAGGACTGGCTCCAGTTACAATTGGTAGCTATTGCGGAGCGCTGTACAGCATGGGCCTGGGGCCAGAGAAATGGTCAACAGGTATTTCCCATAAGCTGCATGAACCAAAATGGGGGTGGAGAGGTTTTCATGCAGTCTTTATTATCACCTAACTTACTTGAAATAGACATCGACATATGCTTGTTTCCTTACCAGTGGCTGTTTGTTCTTCACGAGGCACACGATTCGCATGGCCTCTTCTTCTTCAGGAATGTTATCTGGCAGGGGTGGGAGAACCGGTTCGAAGTCTTTCTGGGCCACTGTGTCGTGGGCAGACAGGACTGCCTAGGAGCAGAATTAAATGGGATTACATTCCTTGTTCGTTTTCAAAAAGTGACTTTCCAACTGTTGCTGAATCGCATATAACCCAGATTTCCTGTATCGACATGCTAGAGAACTGTGGGATGATCAAATGATCTGGAATAAGAAAAAAAAGCTGAGAGAATCTTTCTGTTAGGAGCTTTTTTGTTTACCTCAGTGCAGATATACCTCTTCATTTGCTGCAAGTCTTTATAAAAATACAATGATTCCAATCTTGATGGAAACAAAAGCAATATTGGCAAAACTGGTGTGGGCAGTACAATAATATTAATCATATAATAAATAGTAATCATATAATAAATATTAATCGATTTGACTGAAACGTTCAGGGGAGGCATGGTGGTACAGTTAACATTGTTGCTTTTCAGCACTGAGGCCCTGGGTTTAATTCTGGATCTGGGGTGCTATCTACGTGCGTGGAAATTGTATGGTCTATGTAAGAGCAGAATGCTTTGAAAGCGTTTTTTGTTGGCAGAATGAACAGGATGACCATCGTTATGTATAGCCTGAGAGGGAAGTTAACACTGCAGAGCAGATTTACTTGGGTGGGTAAAGTTTGTCATTTGCTTACCTGCATGTGTGGGTTTCTTAACAGTATCAGGAGCTCTCTGGCATCAGGAGAAGATGCTGACATTCGTAAGTCAGACATAACCTGGAATAAAACACATTGAAGCATGAGGTATTGTTTTCTTCATTCAAACAGTAGCAAAAGCTGAGGCAATAATAGAAATGTCATGTGGTGAAAGCAATGGCTCACTTTTAATTAAAAAAAATTGAAGAAAAATTTCCTTTTAATTCCTTTTAATGTGGTTTTCTCATTAAGTAGTAATCTATTCCAACCTGTTTTTTGTTGCATTGTTAAAACAGTACTTGTATTCCAAATAACATGCAATGCGGGGCTTTCAGTGCAAATACATGTTATAATTATTGAAAATATGACTTATGTCTTATGAAATTATGAAATATAGCTCGTTCTCCTTATTGAACCTCGAGAGTGCAACAAGTACTGTCCCGTTTAAACCCACGTGGTCTCACAAACTGTCACAGAACAGGGTCAGAACTGTAGTCTTACCTCCTGGGAGAGTCCAGATGCATAAGGCAGGAAGGGACTCGGGTTTCTCTGCAAGTACTGCTGCAGACACTCATATACCTGGAAGGAGAGACACATCGGTTGAAGACTGTGGCTCGCAAACAGGCCTGCCTGTACATGCAATTTCTTTATATAAAGGCCAGAGTGCATCTTTAACAAGCTGATCAGCTGTGAAGCTGATTGCTGCAACTAAGGTTGCCTGTTCTTTCAGTTAATGGTTGGATAAGATATTTTAGCTATTTACATAATAGTATCTAAGCAAGTTAGAAGGTTTGAGTGGCTTTCCCCTGTTGGTAATCTTTCTTTTGGACTCTGGTTCTTGTGTTTACTCTATAATTTTAACAGTAGTGTGTAATACCTGAAACATTTCAAATGCCTTTGCTTTGATCACCTGTGTCAAAGTTGAGATTTAATTCGCATAGAATTAAAAATTAAAATTAACGGGGCAATAGAAATTCACAACATTCATTTTTGTTGGTGTTTGTTTCTGAGTAAACTATACTACAGAGCATTTTGTGTGAGATTGCTTTAAAATAATGAAGGGGACATATACTATGTTGCAGTTTCTCACACAAAATAAGCAGGAAGCCAAATGCATAACCAAAGATCAGATCTTGCAATTCAGAAATTCATACCTCTTGTAACTAGTTGTTTCTATCAGAAAACATGAACGGTTCAGTTTAGAGAATGATGGGCAATACTGATCCTGTTGGGCCAGTGTACTGTATCTGCATGTTTTCATTTTACTTCAGCTCTTAACAGCCTACTCATCATCAGCTCATAATTGGCTTAATGGGACTAGATTAACACCATCTCCCAGTTCACCAGGCCATGTTACTTTGAGGGGATCTAGACAATCTGTAGAAAGACTCGTCTCCCAGGATCAGGATTGATAATTCTTGATTTAGAAACTATAATTAATGTCTCCCAATGGCCGCAGTCACATTCAATAAGTAATATGGATAGTGCAAGGGAGATTCAAAGACATTCTGAACCTAACACCCAGAAGGAAAAGCCAGAGATCAATATGCTTCAGTTGCTTGTCCACAGTTGCTTGGCCTATGTTTAGAGTCCTCAGACATCCAAGCTCAATATTTCAGATTGTTTTGTTCTTGTGCATCTTTAATGGGTACAGTGGGCTCTAACAAAGACCAAGAAACAAAGTCTCTCTTCTACAGTAATTCTCCAGTAAGTGTCTACAGTTTAATTTTGTGGCAGTTTCTGAATATATTATAAAGTCATGACTTTAAACAGTTCTTGAGATTTTCTCTGCTTTATCAGTCTTAGGGAAATGGATGATTTGTATAAATATGCTCCTCCTTTGCTTGCGACATGTTGTCTTCAAATTGGATTTTCAGTGCAGACAGTTGAAACCGTGTTTCCTAAAACATTACCTTCAACAATGACTGCAGCCAGGGAGCGTTCAAAAGACTGTAGAGGATGTCTGCTCCATTTATGTCCCGGCTTATTGATACCTTCACTTCCTCTACTACATTTGTCAGTATCTCAGACAAACCTAAAGGACAGAGGGCAATCTTTCAGTTCTCATCATTCTAGTGTGGCTATAATTATTGTATTACTGTTCAGAAAAAAAAGAGAAGGAATGACTGGGAGAAATAGGTGCAGACACACAGGAAGAGAATACAGAACAATGAGAGGCTGAGGAGAAAAAAAAGTTAGATTACTGGGGATAATCATTTAAATAGTTCTTTTAAACAAGTAATACAGAATTGCTACATAACCAGTTTATGGTTGGAATAAAAAAAATATTTAGTTAAGCAAGGCATATTATGATACTTGTTAAAATCTACATTCCACAAGTAATGTTATGTTTCTTTTGAAATTACATTTGATGAAGCACACAAAATTAGACATCCACTAAAACAGACTCTAAAACTGATATTTTAGACTGGCTTCAGAGGTCATTTGTTGCATTTGTAATGACTCTCACTATGCAATGGGATGGAAAAGTGTTTTGAAATACAAAGGTGTTTAAAAACCCTGATAAAAGACTCTGCATTTTTAAATATCTTATATACAGTAGAAATAAAATTTAGGCTCATTCCCAAAAGGCATATTGGAAACTTAAGTTGATATTGCGATTTATTTCTGCTGTTTTAGGTTAATTATTCTCTCTGAAAGATGTGTATTAATAATTGTTTACATTAATAGCCAAGTAGAATTCCAGCTAGGAAGACAATAATGGTCTGTAGATGGTGATTTTATTTCCTAGAGGTGACATTTGAAGGACATTTCAAATTACATTCAACAATATTAAATACAATCTTAATTAATTTCCCCAAGTTTACAATAATATTGATATTAAGAAGAGTTTGTGACCTTTTGAGCCAAAGGAATCCTACTGTTTAATACAGCGTAAGTCAAAAATAAATAGCAAATTATAGCACTACAATAAACACTAGAATAAAATTATAAGAAGTAGTGCCACTTAATTCTGTGGTAAAGTCTATCCAAAATTGGAGGTTGAAGCATACAGTATGACAAGACAAAACGGTAAACTTAAAGATTTCTTTAAACCGGCAGTTTGTGGGCTGTTGTTCTATAATCAAGAAGTGAAACAATTTTTGGAAGAAGCAGGAAAGTTGTTTTTTTTTGGGGGGGCAGGTTTATCTTGGGAGCCTGCTTTACCATTTTCATTCAGCCCTGGGGGAGTTATGGGCTCTGCATCTATGGACTGTTTCATCCTGAGTGTTCGGCGTTCCAGCGCACTGAAGACTCTCCCTATCGGATTCTGCAAAATACACATGAAATTCAGACAGTATTTCAACACCAAGAGGAGACACAGATCCAATCTAAATGGCAGCAAAAGCAGTGTCAGGACAATTAATAAATATCCAGAGTCTTGAATGCTTCCCAGATGTATTCCAAAGCTCCAGTGAAAACAACAGACATATCACCAAAATCCCTACCTGCCCCTACTTTTACTAAAAAAGAGAGGCAGTCCATGTCAGTAAAAACCACAGTTTTAATTCTTCATTCAATCTCATCATTCACTCACCGATTGAAAAAGTAATGTGAGCGAATTCTTTTTCTGCCTCTTTAACTGTTAGTTGTTGAAAGTTTAATATCAAAGCCATTCTTAAAATCTGAGAACTGCCTCTGTGACCCGTGAGAATGTGGGGAGGCTGCCAGTGAATTCAATAGCTCAGTTAGTGACGGACCATGGTCCTCAAAGCTCTTGTAAAAAAAAAAAACAGCCCCAGAAAATGTGGGGCTTCAAAGGTGCCTTTGATTTTGATGAAAAGACAGCACAAGGAAAACAAAGCTGCTGTGCTAAGGGAATATAGCAAAATTAATTTTATTTGATAATTTTGTAAGATAAGTCCACAAGTAACATCTGTGGAAGTACATGATATTGTAATGTTATGCACCCTGTTGTTGGACTGTCTCATGACCTTTTCCTTTTTACGTTTTGCTGGGATTACTCTTTCCTGCTCCTCTCTATATAAGGTAGGGGAACTTTCTCCTCTGGCTCTTTGTCCACATCTTTCTAGGGAATGTCTCTATCTCTGGCTCTGCCTGCAACTCTAAGCTACCTATTGTTTCTGCAATCTTTTTGAATTCTTTTTCACAGCAGTTAGATATCAGTTAACATCTGTCCATCAGTTATGAAGGCTGCAAATTAGGGATAGAGATCAAAAGTTTTAAATGTCAAATAGTCTTTAAAAAAGGTAGCTTTCAGCTCCTGCAAAAATATAGGCCATATCAGTTTACTGTATGCTTATGGGAATAATAAAAAGGAAACCCAACAAAACTCAGCTGTACTGTATCAACCTGAATTTTCCTTTGCCCTAAATACCCATACAAATCAAAACTCGATTTGTCAGACTAAAAGCTAGGATTTATGCAATGCCAATACAAAAAAACGAAATCCTAGCTTTACCATTCACAAAAAAAACATGACTGTAAACATCCCACATTTAAGGATGCCCTATGCTTGTAACAATTCGAATCAGAGCACTGATGAATGGAACTGAACACAATTCATGGTACGTTTGAAGAAAAAAAGTACACCAGGACTTAAAGATCTGCCTGTTCTGTTGTTTTAGTCAAATACAATACCTTATCTGAGGAATTAATCAACTGTAAATCACAGTGGCTCACCTTCAATACCTCAAGCCTGAAGGCTGTCAAGGATTTGAAGAGACAGTGAGGGGTATTCTAGGTCAAACCTAAGAAAACATGCCTTAATCTGTTAGGGGTTAACTGTTATAATGACAGTTATGTTAACTGCAGGCCTTAGAGACTCAGAAAACTGTTGAACATAGAGTGTATAATGTGTGATATCTTAGACTTAAAGAATTAGAATAGTACTAAAAATCTTTTTTGAAAAAAAGCTTCAAATTGTGATTAAAGAGTTTACAGAGACTTTAATGCCAGTCTCCACTTGCTAAAACTGTGGTGTGTTTAAACAAACATTTTATGAAAGTTTAAAGATAATGTAGGCTGAAATGCAGTAAGTTAAGTACAAGTAGCAAACTTTAAGACACTTTAATTCATTGAACAGGGTAGGAAAAGAGAGCAATACCCTTTTGCTAATTGACAGGCTTGGTAGATCCAGTGAGTATACTGTAGTCCCACTGACTGGGAATGGGAAAAGACTGATACCTTCCTTGTTACACCAGCAAATGCACTGTAGATTTTGTTGTCTAGCAAATACAGTGTAACTGCAATCAAAAACCACACATCATTCTTGGACATATCTAAACATCACTATAGAGTTACACCTCTATAACGATATAACATATATAACTATATAACAGGATTATACAGAGGAAAATGAAAAACAGTGATGTTCCTTCAAAGCATGAAGGTGAAAGCCATACCTTAAGCATTTTCACTTTTACCACTAATACCCACTCTCTCAAACTGAATACACTACAGGCAACAATAGAATTCTGTTCTGGGATATTCCGGCACCTTCAGCATGTTACATAACCACAGATTATGTTGGCTGTTTTGTCTCTGCCGATGCACTGTTTAGGTTCCTAAATAGGCTAAATTACCAATGAGTGATTTGCAAACAACGAGTATTTGTATTTATTCTTCCCAAAAGCTGGGAGTACCTTCACACTGCCACCACCCCCGTGACAACATCACCCTCCAACTTTGTCCTCGCTTCCTCTCATTGAAGAACACATTTCAGACACAGCCCAATAAATAATTTGCTGCTGTGGAAAACACACTATGGTACAGTACCTCCATAACCCCGAACCTTACCTCCCTGTCTGAAAGACTCCGTTTTCTTCAGATTGCGGGTCCTGTTTTTTTTTTTTAAGGAGGGTGCTGTAGAGTCCCTTTTCTGACTTTTCTTCAGCACCAGTAGCATACGTGATTTTACTATATCCTCCCCCGGAAAACCTGCCTAATCCTGCTATATCCCACTTAATCCACTGCAACCTCCTTCTCGGAAGCACTTCAACTGGCTGGCCTCAAGCCTCAAAGCTTCTTAACGCTTTCTGCCGAGTGGATGTAAAGTAGGCCTGTGAACTCTAAACGCTGTGAAAATGAAAAAAGGAAAAAGAGATCAATTGTAAAAACTACAGTCAAAATCCAACAGCTACAACATCCACAGAATAAATGTCCTTTTTACCAGCATGATCATGGATGACACCATGAAAGAAGGCCTTGGGGGAATTTCCATCCCAAAATACTTTCGAAATACAAGCAGCAACACCAATTTTAAATAACGAATGACATAAAAACCTGTTAAAAAACAAGTCAGACAAGCAGCGTGAGTCAGTGGTAGGGGTAATCTGACAGATTGCAGGAAGAAACTGTCTCTGAATCTGGAGGTCCGTGCCTTTATGCTCCTGTAACGCTTACCAGAGGGAAGTGGGGAGAAAAGTGAGAAACGATACTTTCAGCCTTCCTGAGACTGCGAGTTGTAAAAATGTCCGCAATAGAGGCGAGCTGTACTCCAATGATGGACTGGGCTGACCTGATCACCCCCTGTAATGTCCTTCGGTCAGACAACAAGCTGCTGCCAAACCACACTGTAATACCACATGTGAGCACACTCTCGATAGCGCACCTGTAAAATGTAGTGAGGATAGTTGAAGATGGATCAAATATTTTCAACTGTCTGAGGAAGTAAAGGCGCTGTTGTGCCTTCTTGGTAGCTCCTGTTACATGCTGGGATCACGTTAAATCAATAGTAATGAGGGACACATGAACTCCAATGAGGAACTTTTATGGAACTTATGGAACTTTTATGGCTTATGTTGGTAATGCGTCGCTTTGCGATATGAAAGTTGCTGAAGATTTTCATTGAAATTGTAATGCAGAACATGAAGGCATGAGATGAGAGAATGTGAGTGGAGTTTTTAAACAAAGAAACTACAGTCAACAAGACCTGTGAGCATGTTAAATTTTAAAGAGATGAGGGCACCTCATTTGATGAGGTCATTTGTAATAAAGTTAGGAAATATCCATGTGTACGTGCACTATGACATATACTGCAATTACAGGGATGAAGTTGTACAGCTGCTTAGGTGGTGTCATAGCAATAACCTGGACTTGAACATAAAGAAAACGAAAGAGCTAATAGTGGACTTTCGGAGACACAGGCCACACACTCACAGCCCACTCAGTATTGATGGAACGGAAGTGGAAACAGTCACCAGCTTTAGGTTTTTGGGAATTCACATCTCTAAAGATCTAACCTGGACTGTGAACACTGACTCTATCATGAAGAAGGCTCAGCAGCGCCTTTATTTCTTGAGTTGCCTCAAGCGATGGGGGATGCCAATACATGTGTTGGTGAACTTCTACCGCTGCACTATTGAGAGCGTCCTCACCAACGGGATCACCGTGTGGTATGGCAACACCTCTTCGCGAGAAAGAAAGACACTGCAGAGAATGGTCAATATGGTCCAGAAGATCATCGGCTGCGGTCTCACCGAGATTAAACAGCTCTATGAGGACCGCTGCCGTGGTAGAATTCTGGCCATCACAGAGGACAGTCACCACCCAGGGCATGAGCTCTTCACCCCACTGCCCTCAGGCAAGAGATATAAGAGCATACGGACACTTACCACTAGATTCTTCAATAGCTTCTATCCACAAGCAGTGAGACTGGCGAACACATTTAGCCATCCCCCTCGGACCACACCTACACCATCACCATCTACCTCATTGTAATTTATTTATTGTATGTCTCCAGTCATTGTTTACACGTCTGTATTGTTTACATTCAAACTGTCTGCATGTTTACTTGCACATTGTCTATTGTTTGTTTGTACATTGTCTTGATGCACTGTTTGCACTTTGTTTTGTTTTTTACACTTGTTTTACAATCGAGAGACTTTCTGTAAGTAAGAATTCCATTGTACCAGTACCGGTTACATATGGCAATAAAGTTCAAGTTCAAGTTCAATTTAAGTTTTCTCTCTAGGACACAGGTGTTTATTTGTGATCTAAATCCCCATTCCAGCACACTTTAGCAGTGACCATTATAATATCCAACTCTAAAGAAAAAGAACAATTTGTGAGCAAATAAAAATGTAGAAATAATTTGGAACACTCAACTCAATATCCTTCAACCCTCCAGGATCAGAAATGTCCTGATCAATCAAATGCTTGCTTAAATAACTTGCTTAATTGATGAAGGACATCAGTGTCCATAAACAATAGCGATTTTTGGGAACCTGTAAGACATACTGGATTGGAGATTTCCTTGGAAAAAAGGAAAAGAAAACTAACATTTTCTTCAAATTGCTTTTATTAATCCTGGTTCATATTAACACTTCAGTTTCATTACTTATTAGTACAATATATACACATGATATGCATTATTGTTCTTGTAAATGATAGAAAAAAACATAGTAATTGTGAGATCGAACGTCCGAGATTATACTATGTTAGCAGTGGAAAATGGAGAATCTGGATTTTCTTTCACTGAAGAAGTGAAAAGCACTGACAAAATGTGTAATGCAACACACCAGTGTTAAATGCACCGCAAACTGTTTTTAAATAAACTTTTAGGAAAAGAAAACGTTCAGAGCAGTATCTGCAGAAAAAGTGTGATTTCTAAATAGAAATTTCAATATAAACCAACTCTGCACTCACACTTAATTTTAAGAAAATGGAATGATTTCAGCCCATCTTTTTCAATATCAACTAATTTCAGTTCAGTGGGGAAAAAATGGTTACGAGGAAGATGATGAAAGCCTTTGCATAAACCATCTTTACTAGAGTTTCACCTTCACCTTTGAGAAGACAGTAGGTGACCTTCCACTAAAAATAAGGGCCAATATGACCTTAATAATAAATTAAGATAAAAGATTCAAAAACAAAACGCCAATACAACAGATTCACGTTCTTTCAGCATATTAACAGACTTGCAATAAATCCTAATAAAATCATATGACATTTCATAAATACCCACACAATACCAGTGCATGTTTCTACAGTATACAGTTACCTTCTTACAGAGTAGCTAGCTTCTCCAAGGCTTTGCGCCTACTTATGAACAACAATTAAGCAAAGACCATGTATTGTATCTTTAGACCTTTTCAATGAGAAGAATGCATTACAGTGCAATTTTAAATTGTGCTTGCTGGTGTGTGTACGGCAATTAGAAAGAAAAACCTGGTCAGAAAGGGATCGGCACAATTGCTTGGAAAGCAATCGTTGTCTTGATTTGCAGCTGGTATCCTTTGTTTTATCCTTAAATGCAGTTCAGCTAATTAATGTCATTAACACTTGTCTTAAAGCATTGGCATACTCCCTTTCTGACCTCAGATATATGCTTACCATGTAAGTGACATTTCACATTGATCCAGTTCTTTAGTATATGTAAATATAAATCACATTGCATTTATCATTCTTTCAGAGATGGAAGGTGGCTATGTACAAATACTGAAAAACAGGGACAATCAAATGAGTTTTTTAGTATTTGAATGTACACTAAATAAAGTACGGTGAACTACTGTATAGTGAAGCATCGTCATGTTTAGGCTTCTCCCTAAATCGTCAAACTGATAATGATTTGCCAGGCACCCAGGTGGACCACTGCAATTAATCTGGATTAATTAGTCTTTGCAGACATGCAGGACAGCTTAACTCAAAACTGTCCATCCAATCCACGCTACAGCAGGATCGGTCTCATATCGGCCTCATTCCTTCATTGATCGTTCGCACGACCAGTTTAAAATGTTAAGGTAGGGCACTGGAAGCAAAGCTTGGCTTTGAGCATGGTTATCACTCTTTTTTCATTGTTTAGAAAGAACTCCCCAATTTTCCAAGACAATGCCAGTTAGGAGTTTTTAGCTGGAACCTAGCTGGAGTTGACAGGAATTTAAAAAAAAACTAGAGAAAAAAAGCTTTGAATGTCATACTGGGATGTAAAATGTAAAATTATGAGTCATTCTGTTCTGGAAATACATTGCAGACCACAAGACAGTCAAGCATCAAAAGGCTTGTTTATTAATGCTATATTTGTTAAACAACACCCACTACATCATCCGTAGTCTGGATATCCATCAAATACCACTGAGGGAGAGGGGTGCTGAACTGCATATACTGTACTGTACACCTTGGTTACAGTATGTGATAAAAATGCATGTATTAAACAAAAAAGGAAAGCAAGTTTAAACCCATCAAGAATCATACCACGATTGACACCACATTACAAGGCAGCTATTGCGTTTTCCGCTCATCCATTTCTTAACCACTTTATCCCATACAGGGTTGCAGGGGTGCTAGGGCCTTTATTGCATTACAAAAATGTATATACATTTATTTTCAAAGTAGTTTTAATTGTAACCCTTTTAATCTGCTTATGTATTCTGGTCATTGTCTTCAAAATTGTTCACTCATTTCTGCACCAAAGGACTTTATATCATACCCAATAATTAATAATAGGACTGGGTGATTCCCTTTCAATAGAAACAATGGTAGGGGGAATTCAAACTTACTGATCTTTAAATACAACCTGGAACCTATAAACTAAAATATGGCACCACAAGAAGGAAGAACACTATGAAGACATCTTACAGTCCTGCAGAATCTCCAACTTTTTTGACTCATATACTGTATGGCACACAGGAAATTCATATTTCATACAGAAATGTCTAGGAAATTAGTAACACTAACCTGGTAAAACAATCACCAAGATTTACACCATAGTGGATATGAAGCACTATTCCGTTGGTTTTGTGCAGTATTATAGCACCACCTATTGTTCAGACAAGCAGAAATAAAAATGATGTAAAAAGGAGACTTCTGGCTTTGCTCCTACCTTTAAGTTGAAGCAAAAAGCTTTTAAAAACAATCTGATCTAACCCACGGTAAGGGATTTTGTAAGGGATCAGAACATGCTTGCCTGAATAATACAAAGTTTTTCTGCATTTATCAGAACATGTTAGAAGCCTGTCTATGTATACTTCTGATTGTTTGGACAATTATTTGTGGAATATGTAGTTCGATGGGGTACAATGCTTTATAAAGCCAAATAAAGTCAAAGAAGGTTCCTTTGTAAATTAAAAAACACGGCACAGCCATCTCTCGGAAATAGATAACTATAACATACATTTAACTAAAAATGAACAAGGACAGGATTTTCTATACACAAGAAAGACCCTTGGAGAAATTTCCGAGGTCACCTACATGATCGCTGTTGTCCTAATGCTGAAGTTAAATCCTGAGATTTTCATAACTGATTTTCGATGATTCCTTCCCAGTAATCCCTGTAAAAACCAGAGTCTTAGATGGATAGAACATGAGATGTTTTTTTTAGAGAGGATAAGAGGGGCATGGCACTCTCTTTAAAACACAGGAGGCATACTGTAGCTGAATGTGGCTTTCATCGCATCAATAAGCATAAGCAAACCTACTCACTGTTTTGACATATTATCTATAATTCACTGTTCATTTCACGGAAGTAGTTCAAAGAACCTTGAAATTGTAAAACTGTGACAGATGGAGCACCCCTATATGAATAAATTAAGAGTAACAATATCTAATAAGGTTATACAGCAGCCTGATTGCTTTGTCCTGTATGTGCAGTTACACTACTAGTTTTCTACAGTGAATGTTCCTTGCAGGTCATACTCTCTTTATGAGGCAGAGGTGCAGGACTGCAGGTCAGTGTTTCATCTTTAGCTTCTTTAGGCAAAAAGAAACCATGGATGATGTAGGGAAACATTTCTTTTCAAACAAGATTCATGAAAAATAATGTGCTGTCTTTCTCAGCATTCTTAAAACCTCCCCAGTCTGAAGATTATTTTACACAAGACACAGTATTGCTCCTCCACAAGCAAAGAACCACTGAGTTCACTTTACTATAGGTAAGAAATATTTAAAGGTGATGTAGGAAAGTTTGGAAGCTCGTACAGGTGAGGTTTAGAGGATATTCAAAAATAAAATAAAAAGAACTCTTCCTTCAGTGCAGGAAGCCCGGACCAGATCCCCCACTGAAATGAAGGAAAACTTCAAAATTCTGAGACGTCATTCAGGAGACTGAATAAAATTAGTCCATATAGTTTTTAGAAATTCATACTAAAAGCAACCCAGTGGCACCAGCATAGAGGTGTAATGTTTAAAAGAATCTTGTTTCAGCCCTCTCTTTATGCTCCATAACTGGGTATCAGAAAGGCCAGCAAGTGACCTCGATTTCTCCTCTCAGGTACCCTTGCTGGAATCTTCAAGGAAACTGGGAGCTTGAAGTCTTATGTGATCTTCTCATGTTGGATCTGGTAGTAGCAAGCCTGGATTGAGAAAAGGAAACATTTCAGAACATTTGATCCCTGGCCAAACTAGGCTGACAGCTGAAAACAAGGAACAGAAGGTAACGAAACAGAAGATATGCATTCAAAGATAAACTCTTTTCACCCGCAAGGAACCAAACACAAACAATACCCTTTGCAATAGAGGAAAGCATGATTGCTGTTCCATACCCTGGACAAGAGGTCTTGGTGATGCGATTAATACTTTGCACGTAGCGGCTCTGGATTCTAGTTTTGATCGATAATGACTAGAGAACTTTTTCGACAACATTTATATTTCTAACTGAAAATGCATTGAATAGAATTCTAAAGACATATAGATGGTAAAGAAGCATATTTTAAAATGTGCTTTTACAGACAGGGAAGTAGTTATAACCCACTCAGGATTCACAGTAGATACACAGGTTCAGTTTAGTATCAAATGTCATCAACTGTTTTCCCCCAAAAAGTATTTTTTTATTTAGGTATCACCTGTTTATTTAGGACTTGGTCTTTTTGTGCACTTATTCAAATTTCAAGACACCGTTTCGCGCCTAAGATAAAATTAATTTTCAATAAATTGCAGCTTTTACCTATGCATCTTTGTGCAAATCAGCCACAGCACATACATAATGTATATGAAGTGACTTGTTACTGACCTAATGTCTTCAATAGCAATCAAACAATAAGCATGTTTATATTCTCTGTTTTGAATGAGTTCTTCACTCTTGTGGACAAAGGTTAATTGTTATTTCAGTGCATGCTTTCATTTATTAAATATGTGTATCAATGGAATAAACCTTGTTTACCAGCTTTCTGGTAAATTGATCAGTCTCTAGTCCTATCACCAACTACCACACACTAAGACTGAAAAAAAAAGTCAGGATAGCATTGGTTTCATTGGAAGTAAGTCTATATAATCTTAATAAGAATCGTGAACAAGAAGCCCACACAGTGTACAACATGCAGCTGTAAGGAAAATGTCTATCTTCTCTGAAATAGAACTACAGTGTATACAAATAGAACAATTCATTCAAATCATTTCAGAGCATATGACACAGAGAAAGGGGTTTTATAATGGCACCCTGGTAGGACATCAGCGACTTAAGTAGGCTTTTAATACAAGCAAGTCCAAAGCGATCTGGGAGAGGTGTGAAGTTTTTTTCTTCTTCACTGTGTTACTTTATATTAGATTTATCCTCACTCTGGGATACCAAACTAAATGCTACACTGCCTCCATGAGTGTCTAATGTTGTTATATGAAATATAATTGAATTAAAAGCTTTGAACTGTTTAACAAAACTGAGCGGAAGTGTGAAAGAACTTGTGTGTGGACACTGTGTGACCATTTCAACCTCCATCACTGTGGGCTTTCACCTGCTGATGTCTACTTACTTTAAGTGTGGTAAACATGATTCCCTGTTCCCCATGCTGCACACAAGGGTCCATCAGGTCTTCAATGAGATGTACTTCGGAGCCTAGATTCCTTATTCTGAAGGAAAAAAGACATTTATAGGACATCTAAAGCACAATGCAGGTGTGCCACTGCTTTGGGGCATACTGTAGCTTTTAGATGGAGGATGTTGAGATGGTGATTGCATAAACTGTGGTGCAAATGTCTTAAGGCACTTGACATGTTGTACTCTTTTCACCCAGTGTTTTGCCTTCATTATGCAGACACACAATTCTATAGTGATCTACTACAGACTTTTTAATCATTTAATTTTAAGCTGGCTGTTTACGTGACTCACAGCCCTCTGACAAATTCTGGCCTGCCACAGAGAGGCTGTCTGGCCAAGTTAAAAACTGCAGGTTGTGAACTTTCCAGACAGAGAGTGACAGTGCACCAAGTTCAACACAAAGGTGTTGCTCACTTCATAACCAGAGCAAATTAGGTCCTTTTCTTGATTTTCATCTCACTAAACAGGTTACATCACTTCACCACCAGTACCAATGTAAATTAAAAAACTGTAAATAACCAACTTCACGTAAATAAATAGCATTAAGGTTCTTCAGAGTCTCAGTATACATGTAGTGTAAATCCTGATTGTGTCTAAGATAGCCAAAACGTTTGAAAGGCGGTGTATATTATATACTGTACACATTTTCTTGATTGCATCCTAAGCAAAGTACCTCTACAAACCCAAGATCTGGGTTGCCCCAAATCTGAACTTTTCCATTATTTAATTCTTTACTTATGAAGGACCAAAATATGTACAAGACTTGTGTGGTCTAACGCTGGCTTTGTGCCCAGAACATAAAGCGGAACCTGTCTCTGTCAATAGGCCAAGAGACATGATCTAAGACATAAGATGGTTATTCTGCATGTTTATTATAAACTTCTCGCTCAGACATTTATACAGGGAAATTATGCTTATTTGTGCATTTGAGCAGTTTGTCTTGTATCACTAGGTAAGCTCATTGAGACACAGTTATATGGGTGGTGCGCTAAACAGTTTGCTTCACAAAATCTTTGCATGAACTTTGTGATGTACAGTGCCCTCAGAAAGTATTCAGCCCCCCATTGATTATTTCTCGTTCTGCTGTGTTGCAAAGTCAAATTAAAGCATATTTAAATTGTTTTTTTTCCATGCCTGTAGGAGTCCTTCTCTATAATGTCAAAATGAAATAAAGTATTTCGATGTCTTCGGAATTATATACTGTAAAAATTAAAATTCTGAAAATTACTTAATTGATAAGTATTCACCCCCTTTGTTTTAACAACCTAAATCGGGTGAGGTATTCAATTATCTTGAGAGATCACACTTCATATTTTAGAAAGGTAGACCTGTGTTCATTTCGAATCCATCTTTGTTCAATTGCTTATATCACTGACTGTGAGGTCTCACAACTAAAACAGCCGATCACATCAGTCCTACTGTCATGAAGACCCAGGAGCTGCCTGTGAAACTTCAAGAAGAAGTTGTTAGGAGGAAAAATGCTGGAGAAGGTTATAAAAAGATTGGCAAAGCTTTGAAGCTTCCTAGGAGCACCATGAAGTCCATTGTAACAAAATGGAAAAAACATGGCACAACCCAGACACTACTAAGAGTATGACAACACTTACGCCAGGTTTCCTTTTCAATTGATCCTGCTTCACTAATGCACTATAGTGAAAAAAACCCTGAGCAAACCACTCACAACTGAGAGAAAACGGAGTGGGTTCTAACAGGTTCTTATTTAGAACCGATCTGGGATGACAAAGTTTAACAAGATATGTATATGTAACATGGTACGTTGCATATAAAAATGCAGTACAATTGTGGGAGTGCTTAACTGTACAACTCTAATTTTACAAAATGAGCTGAAGGGTTGTATTTGCCCTGCTGAAGCAGGGAGGAAATCTGCTATGTTATCTCTTTGTTCTTCCTTCAAAGGAATCTCAATTTCCTGGAATCCTGTACAGCCTTGGACCTCTGACATGCATGGCACAAAGCTCAGAACGAAAAAAAGTAAATATAATGCCTATGTACTAATTTAGTATGCTGTAAATAATTTTCTATTTCCCAGACACATACAGTATCTTCTTCAGGAGCCTTTCTTAAGCTTACCGTGCCCGAAGAACCACATACAAAAACACAGGGAAAAGGTCGTCCATTGACCACAGGAAGTCTTCTTTCAGCAGTGATAGGACTTCCTGTGTGATCTCCTCGAACGTTAGCTGAATAACGTGCAGTTTGTCTGAGGGGGTAAAAGTTGTGCTGGAAATGGAAGATAATAATTGAATTACATTAGTTCTGGAACGATCGTAATTCATCTCAAAATCTGCTTTAATTTGCATAGACACGCAAGGTGTCACTCAGAGGTGAAACATACAACCAGACAATCCCCACAAGATACAAGCACTCTAAATCTGAAAGTCTAATGAAGTCCTAAAATTATATAAACTCTAGTGCAAATATAATTTACATTATTTGCCTATATACTTATACACATAGCAAAATGAAGCAACACACTGATCACTGATTAGCTAAATTAATTTGTACTGTGAACTCAATGCATCCTTAACACGACTGAATCAAAAGGTTTGTAGTTATTTTGTACTAACAGTGCTAGCAAAGGTGCAGTTACTGCATGGTGAACCCACCTCGTTAATGTCTCCCTTGCCCAGAATAAATGTACTCTGGTCTTAGTTTGAATAAATTAGCTATGTACAGTAACTAAATTAAACTCTTCATAACGTTCAAAAATAATAATAAAAAATCTGTGTGCACCTTTCCTAAGAGAGGCGACTTAAAGCCAAGCTTGAATTTAAAGGACTGCTTGGTTTCGTTTCACAACAACTTCCTAAAGCTCCTAGATGTACAGTAACACTCTTGCTCACACAAGTTCAATTCAATTCAGTTTTATTTGTGGGTGCTTTTTTTTTTTTTTTTACGATGGACAAAGTCACAAAGCAGCTTTACAGATTTCCAGGCCTGAACACCCCAGTGACCAAGCTTAAGGCGACAGTGGCAAGGAACAAGTCCCTCAGATTAAAGTAGGAAGAAACCTTGAGAGGAACCAAGGCTCAAAAGGGGAAGCCTATCCTCCTCTGGCCGGCACCGGGGTCATTAACAAGCGTGGTGTATAATTGTCTAGAACCAATCAATGAGAACTCCCAGCCTCTCTGACTGCCACTCTCCTGCACGTGGCAACTAATTCATGCTTTGGAATAATGGAATACTCTCCTTTGTACACAACAGGATCAGAGCATAGCCTAAAAGAAAAATCACAGTGTCTTAAAATAGAAGAAGCAGACTGAGGCCTTGATCATTGCAAACGATCTCGGCAAAGTAGCATTTCTCCATAGAACACTCTTAATAAGTGATCTGAACTCTGACAACAGTACAAAAAGAAATAGAAATATTCTAAAAGCATTGACACAACCCCTTTAACTTTTCGATACATTCATGTTAAGGATGGTAAGGGCATTCCTTAAAAATAATGTAATTTATCACGAGCTGTCTGATCATGGATGACGAGAAATTCCACTGAGGCAAAAAGATTTTAGGAGTTATTTGTTTTCTTGAAAACATGGACCAATTATTTACATACATTACCTGATTTGTTGTAAACATTCCACAGCAGAAGCAAAGCAGGCATCCTTTGTGCTCGGCAGTATCTACAAAACCCGAGAGATGGCTTCAAATAACTGCATATAGCCTTAAGGTAACAGCAGTAGAATACAAGATATAAGACTGAGCAATGGCCTGATTCTTTTAAACATATCAGAGAAAGTTTGATTGATCATCTCATTTGTAACTTTTTGATGTCAAACCTGAACAAACAAAACAGCTTACAGAAGTAAAACATTTGCAAGTGTGTTTTTTGTAGTTTACAAGTATTTAAACAGCCCAGGACATGACAAAGAACAGAAGACACAACTGGGGAGTGATCTGCAACATTTCCCAAACGGATATATTGAAAACAGAACTTTCCTAGCTTTTAAAAGGAAGCAATTACATAAGTCTTCAGTATCATGTAAATACAAACCTGCAAAAGAATTTGATATGTTTATCTTCCCACATTGCATACTAATGGATGCGTCTGGGATGACATTTAAGGTCTAGCCTACATTACAATGCTGAAGACCGTAAGCATAATCTTGATTTTCGGGCACTGAAATTTACAAATGTACAAATTCCTTAAAGTTCCCTTGTAGCTGTGATGGTGCTAGACAGCACACTGGGAGCTCACTGACCCAGTGAGCCTTCCATTGGTGACGGCCATTTTGGCTCAAACACAATGATTTAGCACTGAGCCAAAATGGCAGCCAAAAACCTACCCACTGAGTCACTAGGGGATTGTTAAACCAAGCACAACTGGGTTGAAGTGTTCCAGGGCACAATTGTTCACTTGAAGTTTAAACAAACCTCACTTTAAAAAAAGAAATACTTCACTGATACTTCAATTACACTGGGGTCTATTTCCTAAACCTAATTTAGCAGGCACAAGGATTTAATGTCAGGTGTAAAACATTTCAATTACTAAAGAAAAATATGGAAAAGCTAAATAAAAACTAAAAACAAAAAAAACATGCTTTTTTAATGTTTACCAGGGAAAACTGAAATTGTAACCTGTATGTGAAGCCAAAGTAATCCCTTGGAAAAACATGACAACGTGCGCTAAAGGAATAAAGAGAGCTGTCAAGGACTGGCTTTCCTAAAAAGAAAGCTCCAAAGCATGAGATTCAAGGCCAAGAAGTGAGATTTGTTTTTTACACTCTTCAGCGATTACACATACTGCACAGTATTAGAACAAGTTAAAGGTTTATTCCCTGCTGAAAAGAGAAGAAAAGAAACAACGTTTCGGCTGTGGAGCCTTCTTCGAGTGTGAGAGGTGTCTCTTTTTCCCTTTTCAGCACAGAATAAACCTTTAACTTGTTCCTTTGCAGCCTACGTATGCTGACGCACGTCTCTACTTGAACTACTGTACAGCATTAGTTTTCTAATTTTGGAGGCAGTAAATTGTCTTATTCTGCATTGCATTCTCCACACTTGAATAATTTAAAGTTTTAAATACTTGCAGGTGCAGCTTCTGCTGAACAGCTTATTTGAGTAGTTTAACAGTAATCTGTTTAAAATATTAAACTTTAAATATTGTCTGCACATTTAAGTTGCACATAGTTAAATCTGAGTTAATGCTGAGCATTATACAAGACATACTAAAATAAATCAGAAGTTTCAAATCCACCTTTTAAGACCTGGACATATAAAATTGAAAACAATTTTGAAATGAGCATTATGGAGTTTATGATAACTTCAGTGCTTCATTCTAGGTAAGTAAATAGCAAAATAAGAAAACTGGAATTACAGTATATGCTTGTACTAATGCAAAATAACCTACAGCACATTTCTCTTTTTTAGAAACAAACTTTGCTGTTGAATTAATACTGAATACCTACCTGTTTCTTTTCTCCCAAAACAGAAATAGAGACAGGCCAGAATTTCCTAAAGAAACACAGAATTATAATTATTTGACATTACAGTCCTGTAGCCTTTATCCCATACTGTAGATTGTGTTTGCTAAATCCTTCACATTCCTAAGTGACTCACAGGGCTGGAGACAATGCTAATGTCTGAAAGTCTGAGCGTTTAAGAATACACCTAGACAGGTCACCAGAGCTTACAGGTTATCTCCAAAAGCCACTGCTGATACTCACTTGCAGTATAATAATAAAGTAATAACCAATGTGTGACACAGCAATAGATCCTGAAAGCCCAAAGCACTATTCCACCTATACAACAGAATGATTCTTTAACATTAATAAATGATAATTCTTTAAGCTTTTGTTTCACAAGAGCGGGTCTAGCTACAATATCTAAAGGCATAAAGTTAAAGTGTGTTTTGATGAGATGGGGTCATCAAGCAGTGTGGAATGTTGGTGAGCTGGAGTCACACTAGGCTGTCAAAGCAGGGTGTTGGCGGTTCTCACTGCTGCACTCCAAGGAAATTCAGGAGGGCGATGTCCGGCTGCTTGTTGAGGCGCAGCACGCACTCCCAGTAGACGTCCTCTTCGCGCTCGTTCTCCAGGGCGTACAGCGTGAACAGAGGCGGGTAGAGGCGGGGCAGAAGAACGGGCAGCAAGAGCCCCGAGCTGGACACCACACGCCTGCAAAACAGCACACAGTCAGGGGTGTAGCCTGTGGCCTGCTACATTATCGGGGTGAGCAAAAGCTTTGTGAAACCTTTGGCATGATCTGGATTCCTATAATAATCTGAACTTCCAGTAATTGCTCCTAAAAAGTCATCTGATCTTCAGATCTGTCATAATAATAAATAAACAGAATCCGAGAGATAAACAGAACCTGAGAGAAAGCCAATGGTTATTAAAAGTGGAGAATTAAACAATTACTCGCTGCTGTACCTCGTACTGTACCGAGATCACCGTATTTGCAAAAACTTGTGATGGTGGATTTGAATAACCCATGAAGTTGTAGCTATCTATGCGGATTTGGTTTTACTGGATATTACAGGCACCGTCCTTCAGATGAAACATAAAACCGCGGTCCTGATTCTCTGTGGTCATTAAAAATCCCAGGGTGTTCCTCGAAAAGCGTAGGGGTGTAACCCTGGTGTCCTGGCCAAATTTCCCATTGGCCCTTACCAATCATGGCCTCCTAATAATCCCCATCTATGAATTGGCTTCATCACTCTGTTCTCCTCCCCACTGAGAGCTGGTGTGTGGTGAGTGTACTGGCGCACTATGGCTGCCGTTGCATCATCCAGGTGGATGCTGCACATTGGTGGTGGTGGAGGGGAGTCCCCATTACCTGTAAAGCGCTTTGAGTGGAGTGTCCAGAAAAGCGCTACATAAGTGTAAGCAATTATTATAATTATTATTACAGGAATTATCAGAGGTGTGAAGACTTGTGTTTTCTGGAATTAAATTCATGTCAAATAGAACTCTGCTCTGTGCAAAGCTATTAAGATTATAGTTAAACATTTTAAGGTCTTTTAATATGTGGAGGGCTCTATACAGTATACTGTATGTATTCTACAAAGAACATCACATTCACCGTATTTTCTTGCAGCTATAAATGCAGATCTGGATATTATTTACAGGAATGATCAGAGGTGTGAATACATACTTTGCGCTGTGCAACATTATTAAGATTATAGTATAACATTTTAAGATCTTTTTAATGTGGAAGGATCTATATATGCAATCTACAAGGAACATCTTTTAGGACTGTGTTTCTTTGAAGAGCATAGTTGCTATGAAACAGGAAGTAAAGGGAATTAGCTCTTGCTATTTCGCAAGAGTGTGGGTGAGGGAACTGTCTAAAGATACTTCTAAGTCTACCATTTGCTTCTATAAAGTAACAATAGACAGATGTTTCCCTTTTATTAGGGCTCCCCAGACTGACATGATGCATAACATTTTGCACTATATCTGTATGAGCCCCCAGATTAATTCAAACCATTATCTAAGGCAGGAGTTTGTATATTCTCCCTTTGTTGCTCTGGTTTCTTCCCACAGTCCACAAACCAACTGGCTGGTTAATTGGGTCCTGGGAAAACTGCCCCTGGTATGAGAGTGTGTATACTGGTGTATGTGTCTGTGTGGGCCCTACGGTCCGAGTCTATCCCAGCAAGCAATGGGCGGTAAGGCAGGACACACCCCTGCCCTGCCTGTCTAGGGTGTTACATCTGCTGTATGCTGGGATAGTCTCTGGTTCCCCTATGATCCTGTATTGGATAAAATGGATGGAGGGATATTACTTAAGGTAAAAAAAAAGACATATTAAAACAACTTTTTAAGGGACACTGCTGACTCATCACATTGATGCAAATGTCCCAACATGCTAAGACTCTCTCAGTCCAATCCATCAGTTTAAAGCCCTAAGCTGTTTGTATCTGTCTGTGTGCTTGGCTTTCCCACACATCTGTATTAGAGATTTACCAAAGGTCACATGAAACTGGAAGGACATCAGCTCCCTGACGGGGAAATTTATTTTAGGAATCCTGACAAAGCAGACACATAAAAGGTTTGCACTCTGTGAACTCCCAATAGATAAAACAGCAATTTACAGCAAACAAGGAATATTTCAGCAAACCTAGCCCTAGAGGAATAAAAGAAAAAAAATCAGTAGAGGAAATAGCTCATTTTTAGATGCTGGTGTTCTTTCCCAGTGCACAGGGTATGCCTCAGAGACTAGTCTTTTACAAAAATCATTTCTGTTTGAAAGCTCTTGCTTGGTTTTAGTATGCAGAATAATTTCCTTGCCACAAGCTATTTTTTTAACAAGCAGAGAATCTAATCCTGATTTTTGTGCTGTGGGGGGAAAAAAAAAGTTCGGAGCAATCAACAGGAATTCCCAAGTGCACAATATAGACTCTGTTCCACGAGTTTCCATTTTTGATGCTTTTGAAATGCAGAACATTTTAATACACTCCGTAACATGATATACAATTTCCCACAATTACCTTCAAACCTAATGCTTTGGTTAAATTATTTTTTAAATCCATATTTTGTTGTGCTGGCAGCCCATGGTAGACATAATCATGAATTCATTTCTATAAAAACTACCCAATGAAGAATCAAGACAACAGTAACATATTTGGAAATAGGCAGAATAGTGGTAAAGATGGTTAGCATTACGTCCTCAGTAATGGGCTTGTGTTCTTGACAGGAAGACCTTCTGTGTGGAGTCTGAATGATCAGGTGTGTCCCACCCACTGAAGGCTGGCTATGGTCACTTTTATAGATGTCTCTAAATGCACAGGGCCCCCCAGATTTAATTTTACCCCAATGAAACGGGAACAAAAATCATCATATGATAGAATGAATTAAGAACTGGGTAATGCATATTATATAAACAATTCTAAAATTGTCATACATTGTACACGACAAAGTGTATTTTTGTGTGCACCATCCACCTGTGCAGAGTGTAGTCCCTTATGCATCTGGGAAAAACTCTAGTTGTAGCGATCCTTACTAGCAGCAAGATACTTTCTGTTAACCAACTTATTTCGACGTAACTAATAAATCCTTTTTTCGGAATCAGAATTGTAAAATTGCTTGATAAGAAATGCAAAATAAAACTGGACTAAAACACTCAAGTGGGCACAGGACAGACCAAGATCTACCAGTGTTCATCAGAGAGAGTAGTGAAGGAATTGTAATTGTGCTGTGTCCCATTACAGACATACTGTGTAACTTAAAAACTTCCCGAAGTCAGTGTGCTGTTTAGATACTTCCACTCCGATAACAGAAACATAGAATTCCCATTTCTGTGTATGTAAAGGGGACTTCATGAAAACTGCACTCTTACCCAGGCTGTGGGGACTCGGACTTGTCCAGGTTTTCCTCCTCATTCTGCATTTTCAGGACTTGTGATTCAGTCCTGGGTGCAGGGATCACACCACCTTCTTCTGGAAGATCAGGGAAAAGGAACCTAAAACCATAAATACGTCTTCTCACTGTGCGGCACAAACCAGCATGTCATTAGAGCATGTCAATCATCATAGCCTAGAATGACATAACAGAGTCAACTGTGAACATGACCTGGGAAAGGAACATATTTTCTACCTTGACAGTGTTTCTCTTGCCGTGCATTAAAAACAGGATGAAATAACTTCAGCTTCACTGCGTTTTCTTGCATGAACAACCTCGGTGATGTGAACGACGTTTTTAGCTACCCCCAATGTTTTCATTTCCCTACTGTACACTGTCATTCAGAGGAGGCTCTTAACACTGCAAGGCTGTCTGGCTCTTGAGCTATAAAGCACTTGAGTGGGAAAAAAATGTATATATTTCACTAACTGAACAAGTTTAAAACTCTTCCCAGGTCTTAAGCAGTTCAGAGTTTAAGCGACTGAAAAAACAGCTGAACGGGTACCTGAATTTTTGAGCTGGCCCCCTTTTATGTATTAAGGGGCATTAACAGTTTTGATTGTAATCCATAAATTCGGGTCCTTTATTAAAAGGCATAAAAACCAAAATGACAGCTTGAGATGCGTTTTCTAAACCAAAAATCCAAACGAAAAGGTAGGAGTGGCAATTACTTTAGAAACATGGGATTTATTTTAGGATGCTCTCTTTCTGCCTTCCTTCCCCTTTCTTTAACAAGACTACTGCCTAGAAAATGCCACTTTCCTGATGGAACCAGCCAAGCCTGCCCACAGTAACTGCCTGCCGTTGCGTCTGCTGACCTGACCAGCTGGAAGATGCGCTTCAGGTAGGACTTGATCTCGTTGACGGCCTGCTGCAGGAGACGCCGGTTGGCTCCCACTCCTACATACGTCATCCTGTACACAGCGACCAGAGTCTCCAGCAGCCTGCCCAGTGGGTGGAGAGGGGTGTCGCAGGCCTGTGGGGGAACATGCAAGGTTAAACCACTGCATAATGAAGAGCCAGCTGGACACCTTTGAAGAAAGATATACGATGTGAAGAAGGGGTTAACTGATTCCTTTCTGCAAAAGGACTTCTTGTGACACAAGACATTCCAGGCTTTGGGTTATGGCAGGGGATAAGATAGGATAAGGTCACTTTATTAGCCATATACAATTTCTTACATTAGGAATTCCTCTTTTCGCATACACAGACAGGGAGAGAAGCTTGGGGTCAGAGCACAGGGTCAGCCATTGTACGGCGCCCCTGGAGCAGTTGGGGTTAAGGGCCTTGCTCAGGTGCCCAAAGGAGTAGGATTCGTCTGCCAGCTGCGGGATTTGAACCGGCAACTTTCTAGCCACAGGCGCAGATCCTTAGCCACAGAGCCACCGCTCCGCCCCATAAATCTCCCATGGCACGGTACCTTGATTAAATATCTCCGGATATTCTCGTATTTCTCCAGAGTGACCGGCCCTATGTGCTGTGGAATGACTTCCAGGCTCTCCAGGGTTTTGTTGTGGGAACGACTAATCAATTCAGGGCTATGGAAACAGCAGAGAACAAAATAAGCCATAGACCGCTGTGGAGAAAAAAAAAAAGTACAAAATGGAGCACACCAACATGAGAGTTCCGATTCCAAAAGTACTTTTAAGTCATAATTAAGTGCTTACCTTATGGCATAGAGCTCCAAATTCTTTCACAGGCAATTAAAATATTACCTTGCATTTCTATTGCTCTTTTCATCCCTATGGATCCCAAAAGTCTTAACATATTGTATGTAGGAGGTGCATACTTTTTATATGTTTTTTTTATAGGTGCATATGTTTTATGTGAAATCAGAAAATCAGGTGAAGAAAATTATTCACCAACTGAATTAACAGGGAAAGTTAAGGAAGACAGTTTGTCCAAGTCCAAAGTTGAATTTAGCCAGGACACTGGCATAAAGCAGTTCTATTTCGATGGATTGCAAATAGAAAAAAAGAAATCCAGTCCAAATGGTGACACATCTTTTCCAACCAGACTATACTGCACAAGCAATTCTGCAATTTCATGCAAATGTTGTGACAGAACATCCATTTTTTGCTGTGAAGTCTGAAATTATCAGTGATGGGATTTAGAATTCTGTCCTACTGGTTACATTGAGCCCTTAATAAACAGACAATCATTCCGAATTGTGAAACATTAGTTGGGTGTGTTCTTTACCATCTTCTTTGTTGCTGCTTTTACCCTGATCTAACCCTGGTATTTCCACTGTTACACATTTTGGAGACTTAAAAATGTAGCGAAAAGGTTTTAAAGAACTTTCCCCTGATTAGCTAACAATATGGTTTCAACTTTCCCTTTGTGGAGAATAATATTTACAATTCAACATTTTGACATTTAACATCAAAATGTTAAAAAAAGTCATTTTGTCAAAGAAAGTGTGCATAAACGCTCACACAATTACATTTCTCAAAGCCTCTAAACTCAAAAAAGGCAACAAAACAGAAAAAAAAGTATTAATTTTTTTTCGAAATACTATGAATGATATTCTAAGCATCTCGCTAAATAAATTTAGTTTATTTGCTGAAAAACGTTTGTATGTCACTAATTAAGATCACCATGTCGGCTAAAGCAATTAGTACCAATAAAAAACATTGCCTCTTAATTACAATCTCTTTTAGTTTTAATTGCCTTAGTGTCCCTGAAATTGTTTTGAAACGGTGATGATGAAACGGTGAAAAAAAAGTATTAATTTTTTTTCGAAATACTATGAATGATATTCTAAGCATCTCGCTAAATAAATTTAGTTTATTTGCTGAAAAACGTTTGTATGTCACTACTTAAGATCACCATGTCGGGTAAGCAATTGCCTTAGTGTCCCTGAAATTGTTTTGAAACGGTGATGACGCTAGCTGGAGAGCAGATAACTACCAAATATATTAAAATGCTGAGGACATATTCACAACAATTCATTGCATCAATTTACATCCAGTTTTATGTAACAGTAAAACAAAACTGGGCTAAAGGTGGAGGGATAAAAGAATCTTGCAAGATGACAATTTAAGAGCTACTCTGGGAAGAGTAAAGATTTCCTTTTAATTTTGTAGAATCAGAACTCTGCAGCAATATTAGCATGGAAGAAAACACATTCTATGGTTCCATTATGAAAGCGAGTCTAGCAGGTTTTGCATAGCCTAGGTAATAAAAGCACCAATAGAGAAGAAAAAGTATTCAGTGACGAGGTTGATGGAAGAGCTCTCCTTTAAATCCATGCATGCAGTGGGTCTACAGCAGGAAACGGTCTGTGAAGACGACTTTTTCTGAGATAATGTGTATCCCGTGCCCTTGCCTTATTCCAGAAACCTTATTGGTTGGGATTGTCCCCTTGTGACATGGACTGCATTACTGTGCATCTGGTCTGGGCTTAGATATAAAGACATAAAAGACATACTACCTTTTTATGTACTGCTGCTGTGCAGGGATACTTGCACTTTTTTAAATTATGAAGCCATTTCTACTACATTGTACGTTTTCGAAAAAAGAAACTCCTACTGGTGGTTTCTAATTACGTATTATGACATATCCTAGTCTATCTAATAAATATGTAAGCGAGTCTATGACTACTGCTAATTGGGGTCTGCATTATCCTTTAAATTAAACAATTGCTTATTCTAATCTGCCTTAAAGAACTCCCAAAATGTATGTGACAATTAACAAATTCATTATTTAATTAACTGCAATTGAAAATTGCATTATGGGAGGCCCAAGCCTTGGACATTTATCTATACTAAAACTATGGATCTTCAAATGTCTTTTGCACCGTGATTTAACGGGGACAGAAGTTAATAAACCTCTTTAATATTTATTATTATTAATAATAAATAATCTTAATTGCTTCAACATGAATCAGCAGATGCTATGTGTTAATTCAATTCTAAAATAGACATCTGTAACACATGAACATTTATCATACCAACTGTTTTTTTACTTAAGCTAATTATTAGCTGAATTACTTTGCTAATTATGATGAAGATGAAACTGATCATAATTCAGAACAATAATTGGGACTAATTTCTCCATCCTCGGTAGCAATAATCTCATTGAGAAATAAATAGTTTAATCATTTTAATCTCCGTTTTAAAACAAAAGGGGCCCCATAAATACCGCAAGATGACTGACCTGCCATCTACTTCTAACCCCAGACAATTTAATCGAAGAAATTATACAAAACCTTACTGAAAAAAAGACACAAGAGAAATGCCATTTTCTATACACAGCTTATGTGACATAAACAAAAGGTGCAAAGGCTGTTGTAGCAGCCTTCCTCTACACATAATGTTAATTTCACTGTCACTGTGGTACAATATGAAAAAACAAACTGGTAATCGAAGATACTGAAATTTGTATACCCTCCTTATAACAGAGCTGAAGTGGCAAAAAAAGACAGACGTGTGTAAGTTCTAGACATCAAGAGGAGGCGGCCCTGGGAGGGACGGGCCTGTTGTGTCCATACCTGTCCCTGTGCTGTCTTCTGCTGGTCGTCAGGGCGACGGCTATGTTTTCCCAGGCTCTCCAGTTCTCCCCCTGCCCGGGGCTGTCGCAGCCCAGGTGGCTCCAGCACTCCTCAAACACAGCCTTCCACTTCTCTTCTGGGGGCACTGCCAGGCTACCCAGCTTCCTGAAAAAGGCAATGGGATCCAGATGGGCACGTGTGGCACCGGTGACACACGCTGCGATTCCGAGAGGAATCTGTAAATGCGGGACCCGATTGCAGGCAGGCCTTTCAGAAAGACAGAGGAACACATTGTACACTAGAGGCACAACAAAAAAACAGCTCTACCATAAAGCCCACATAAGAAATGGTTATAAAATACTTAATAATAATAGGTGATAAAGACTAATTAATGGAAGAGAAATTTCATTTGAATCCTTCCTTGCAGCTTAATCTGCTCATCTTGTCTTTAGACTTGTCACTTACACCTGTGTTTTTTTTAATTGGTGTTTAAAAAGCCCCATGACCACAGTACCATATTAATAGCAAGGAGTGTTTATACTGTAGTTTATTTGCCACGGTTGTGTGATTTTTCTGCTCTTGAATTCTATATCGAAATACGCTATTGATATCAAAATGAAGGGTGTGGCCCTGTACTGCTGCTTCTGGGATTCGATCACAGTCATTTGTGGTCTCAGAGCAGACACATCTCTTCTGCCCAGGCTGACAACAGATACTATTAAAAATGTATAATGCATTAGTAAGGCCTCATTTAGAAAATCAGGTACAATCCTGGTCTCATATTATAGAGAAGATATGACTGCTCTGGAATCAGTCCAGAGAAGAACATCCTGATGCTTTATCCTGTTCAGGGGATTCAAGGAATATCCTACTCTTTTGAATCAAGAAGGCTATGAAAAGACCCGATATAAACAATTAAAATGCTCAAATGCTTTGACTTTGACGTTAAGCCTGTGGATTTTTAGTCTGCAGTATCTAACATTTTCATACTATACAGCACACTAACGTACACTGGGTCCTCTATTTTGAACACACGTACAACAGCCCATAGAAATAAACGCCGCCTTTGAGAGATTTGAATTTACAGACAAGTATCATAAAGTCTGATGCATGAAGTCAAATCAACAATTCAAGGTTTTTCTGCTTTTTTAGAATACGAATCAGTGCTTAAAATGCTAGGTATTAAATATGCAAATATCTGTTGTAATGGTGTTAATATTTACATTTTTAACATTAACATTTAAAAATGTTAAATATTTAAGTTTGCCAAGACAGCAGCTAGAATGAGAGAAACAAGAAAAGAACCACAATGATTCTTTTATTCTTACTGCAGCACAATTAAAATATTTTTGATGCCTGGAAAGTCAACGATGAAGTCAAGGTGTAAGAAAAGATTGCACTCTCAATTTTTTTTATACTGATGTAGACTTTATCCTTGAATTTCACTTCTGACCATTAGCATTTCCCAAGACATACTCACAGAACCCTGGTCTTTTCCTTTTCCTTGTCATTGTCGTACATGTTTGGCTTGAAGTACGTTCCCACTACCTTCAGGCCACTGCCCCACTCTCCACTGAAGGTGCCTTCGAAGTAATCTCCGTTTGGCATTGTCAGTGTGCCCTGAGAAACACAAAGTGCTAAATTGTAAGAACTGTTACAAATGAGAGGAGGCCTTTCAACCCAATTAGTCCTTTGGTAGTATGTAGTTAATCAATCCAAGGATCACATCCATTTTCTCAAAATAGACTGAAGTATTGGCTTCAACCACATGGCTGGGTAATACTGTGCATAAAAATGTGGGCAACATCAATTTCAGCACATATGCTCACCACACATCAGCTATCAGTGGGGAGGAGGACATAGTGATGAAACCAATTCATTGATGGGGATTTTTAGGAGGCCATGATTGGAAAAGGTCAGGACACTGGGGTAAACACCCCTACTCTTTTTGAGAAACACCCTGGGATTTTTAATGCCACGGGAAAATCAGGACCTCGGTTTAATGTCTCATCTGAGATGGGATGGCACCCCATCATCCTATACTGGGGTGTTAACAACCTCCCAGACTGCAGGGTGAGCTCTGATACTGGTACCGTTAACACCTCTTCCAGCAGCAGCTTTAGCTTTCCCAGGAGGTCTCCCATCCAGGTACTGGCCAGGCTCACACCTGCTGAGCTCCAGTGGGTTGCCAGTTGTGACTCGCATTGTAAAAAAGTCACTAACTACTTCAGTGTATATGAAGTCATTTGAGGATTACCTTTCCATTGAGAGTCCAGTCTTCTAAAAACTCCCCCTCATATGTGGTGTCATCTTCTGACAGGAGAATTCCTGTGCCCTATTTCCATCGTGTAGAAATAATAAAAACAACAACGTGGTCATGCGAGGTACCAGACTTGATATGCAGGGCAGTGGCAAGTTAAGCAATACGGCTAAAATGAGGCTAAAAACCCAAGAATGACATTCCTTGAAACAATATATGATCCATCTATCCATCTGACTTCCAATCCACTTATCCAGGGTTGCAGGGAAACCCAGGCAGCAAGGGGCACAAGGCGAGATACACCTTTGGTGGGACGCCAGTTCATCACAGGGCACCACAGACACAAATACACATTCATACCAGGGCCAATTTTCCCAGAAGCCAATTAACATACCAGTTTGTCTTTAGACTATGGGAGGAAACTGGAACACCCGGAGGAGACCCACATGAACATGGGGGAAAACAAACTCCATGCAGATACCATCTTAGGTCAGGAACTGAATCCAGGACCCTAGCACTGAGGGGCAGCAATGCTAATCACTGTGTCACCGTGCCACCCAAGATATACGATAATCCTTGAAATCTGGCATTAAGTAAAGATTTACATGAATGGCTTGACCTAGAACCTTGACTGACTGTGGACACACTGTAAGACGAGCAGAACTCTCATTATCATGTAGAAGGAAATCACCATCATTTTGTTGCTGTTGAAGGCTCCTTCGTAATACAGTCCGAACTGGGTAACAATGACTCCATTGCCCTGGCGTTGGTCATCCTGCCACATACCCATGTATTTCTCACCCCTGGAAAAAAAAACGAAAGTTCAGCAGTGCGTGAACCCTCCCATTGGATATAGCAAAATTTATCATTTAAAAATAATCGTAAATCTGTTGCTGCCTTATGCTGACATAACATGATTCCACTTTTTCAGAAACAGTGACAGGAGGGAGATGCGTTGAATGAGAATGAGTCTGATGTAATTGTGGTGTTCTCAGTGGATTTGTAAAGATGTAGCCAGTAAAACACTAGGAACAGGCAGGACTGTGAAGTGGTGCTTAGGGCTCAGGTCTTCATACTGGACCAATAGACATGTCTCCATCTATCAACTCAACGTATCTCTATCTCCATCGCGAGTTACCTGATGATGTCGTCGAACACTCCGTAGCCCGTCTTCTTGTCCTGCACCCACTGACCAATGAACACGCTGGGGGAGGAGGAAGTGAGCTTCCCACTGCGGAACATTCCGTGGCCGTGGCGCATGTTGTCCTGAAAGGAGCCCTCATACACCTCCCCTGTGGCATATCTAACGAGCACACACATACACAAGTGCACTTGTGAACATGGTGCCTAGGAGACATCAGACCGAAGTCTCCCGTAAAATTCCTAGACCTTGATTTGAAGGAAGAGCCTGTTCTAAGCCCAGGGCAGACAGCAACACTTAAGACACCACCCCTGCTTCACCAATAGCGGCGACTGTAACGGCGATAAACTCAAGACTGGTCACATTACTCATGAAAAGATTAATGAAACTGAAAAAAAAAATCAACGAATCGGTCACAGACCTGTCATTCAAACAATGATCCACAAGATTACAGTGCATAGAATGTGTTCTTTGAAGGCTTCATTTTCCAAAAGCAACTGTTCCACCTATGTAAAGTGTGACAGCGCGTGGGTTTCAGGCTGTACTTTTCACCAGCTTCAGGTCTAATATCTTGGACAGAGACAGAGGGCCAGCTCCGTGGTAGGCGTTTTAGAAGATTTTTAGGTTGCACGTTAAGGCTCGGTAAAAGATTTGATGTCTCCGGAAGAGGGAGAGGGGTGTGAATGAGTTAAGGACTCGTGGCGTGGTTCTGGCACGAACACCTGAGTAGCCACACGAGACTTTGTTATGGGTCTCTCAATTAAAGTAGCAAGCGTTACTGATGAGAGATGTTCACAGGGACAATCGGGGAAGAGCAACAGAGCTCATTTTCTTGTCTGGGACAAGAGGACTGGGGAGGTGAATCTTTTTCTCCGCTATGTCACAAAAGTCTTGAGGGGCAACTGCTCTAAGAGTTGTTTCTTCCTGGTTAGAATGCACAGCAAGGAAACACTGGTTTCCGGTGCAACTAATATCTTGCGGTGGGATATGGTTCCACAGAGGTTTGCTGGTTTGAATCCGAACTTTTTTGTAAGGTGGAAAATTAAGATGGGCTGTGCTTCCTGCAAGTGGTCCCCATGGTGGAGTGGATACCTTGGCCTTTGAGATGTTGTCAGAAGGAGCTCTGTCCATCTTTCATCTCACACTTTCAGCAGCAGAAGCAGTACATGCTTTGGAGCATGCGTGTTTACGGTTTTCAGTTATTCCAGATTTTAAGAATGCTATAAAATTTGTACTGCTTGGTGGTGGGAGAAAAAGTATACTTGGTTTAAACAAGGTTTAAAATACAGAATATAAACTTCTCATTGGGTATCTATAATCCTAGCTACATACTCCTAAAACCTTTAATTTGAAAGCCTTATACATGTTTGCTAATATATTAAATATATTTGCTAATATATAAAATAAATTAACCAATCATTACCTGTAGATTCCATAGCCATGCATTTTCCCCTCTTTCCAGTGGCCTTGGTAATGATCATTCTTATTCAGGGGCTTGTTAGGAATGATATATTCTCCATAACTGCAAATAAAATATACAGAGCTATGTTTCTTTTATTTATTATTTTTATTTAAGCTATAAGCGGCGTTTGACATTACTGACACAATTTTAATCAAGAGATGTGACATTTTGCCATGTGTCAACTCAAAACTACTTTTGTACGACATGACACATTTTCACCACAGAAATCAACTGATGTTCAAGACCTATGGACGTGCCAGTTCGTCACAAGGTATTCTGCCCGTTTTGGAAGCCCATCGGCACTGTGGGACCCAAACGACAATTTTGGGAAGTTTAAGGATGAAACGCACACAAAATATTTCACTGTGTTATTCTTTACATTTTCATTTTATATGATAATTCTTATGATATGTATGACATTCAATGCTTCATTTTATTATTAGCCTGCATGCTAATCCTTCAGTATTACAGGAAGACTCACCCATCTTCCAGGCCATTCTTAAAGGTGCCCGTGTATGTTCTGCCATCTGGCCATTTCAGAACACCCCTGAGGTAAGAGAAGAAGCTGATCACAATTTGAGCCATCCTGCTACCTTTAAAACTGGACAGACCGGTGGACGGAGAACTCTATCTGGTGGTGTGTGGGACACAGCTGAGTGGGCAATTGTTAAAGGAAAGTTGAATTTTTTGAGTGGGAGTTGACGAACTCTTAAAAGATACTAAAACTTTGACACGCAAGCATCTTCAGTCGCTCCAATGAGTAAATATGGAATGGTTTCCCCTGCCGGGGGCTGAGCTAGACAAAGCTCAATGTTATTTTCTTTTTAAACACGGGAGGATATCCAGTTTGTCGTTACGGCCAAGAATTCAAATTGTTGTCATAGCAACCGTCGGTAAGCGCGTTCCACAGTCAACAATAAACGCTTTTCTTATCTGCTTTTGGCCAAGGGGGTAGATGTGCGCTGGCACTTACTTGCCGTTTGGCTTCCCTGCCAGCCAGCGACCCTCATACGTAGCTTCCTTGAGCCGGCTGTCCTTGTAGAAGGTGTATTTCGCTGTCCTGGAGATGGGGGGCTCTGGCCTTTGGATACTACCGCTGCCTGGCACCGGGGTATCGACAGCACCAGTCAGAGCCTGCTCCACGGCCTGGTTTATTGCCCTCAACCACTTCCCCTGAAGTCGGACACAGACACCAGTGATTGGAAGAGTATAAAACAGATTGTTTTCCCCACTCTTAGTCCCAGTGGTAGTGCCTTCAGCTAACCACTATCAATAGTTCTGAGGGTGTGTTTCCAGACAAATTTTCAGAACAAATTCTCTTCCTACAGCTATAATTACAGTACATTCATTAAAAAAGCAACTCAAAAATCCAACACATTCTATTGTTTACAATAGCCATCTGTTATATTTTTAATGCCTCACAGTATATATACACATAGTGTCATTTCATTATATCAGCTTGTAAAATTGATGAAGTATTGGGTAGTAAGGACTGCAAATTTATTTCACACTTAACTAAAAAACAGTTAGGTACTTACAATCAGTTTTCTCAAACTTTACTGTCACAAGAATCTCCCACATGAGTTCTGCAGAGTGACGACAAGGACTCCTACCTTTTCCATGGGGGAAGATGCCAACAGAGTGAACTGTTCTTCTGGAGAGGTGATTTTCAGCCCAGAACTTTGATTAAAAAAACAGTGAAAGTCAGTGGAAATACACAAAATAGTGATGCTTAAACTTTAGCTTTGAACTGTGAACATTTCTGATCTACCACTCATGTAATAAAGTAGGCGAGGTGATTAAAGCAACAGTGTCTTTTTTTGTAAAAAAAATCACTGAAACACCAGACTTCTACTCACAAAAATGGAACGCAGACAAATTGGCAGTACATTTCTGTCAATGGAGCAAGCAGAGGTTAATTCCATTTTAAAAAGTAAACATTGAAACCCTGTAATGTTGCAGCTGTGCAGAAAAATAAATTTGTCATTATAAATGTGTTGATACTATTTGGCATCAGCTCTGCATGAAATGGGGTCTGTTTTTTTAGGCCACAGTCTCAGTTCCCTCAGCAGTCAGGTGTGGATTGCTGTATTGTTATCCACGACCCACGAAGATATATTTTAGTTTTTCTGTATAATAATATCCCCTGCCTATCTGGAATTTCACGTCATGAAAACAGTCAGACTACAGAAATGTGTCTTCTAGATTAAAAGTGATCAGTGAAGCACACACCTACAGTACATGCGCATACACAAATACATGCAGTATTTGCATCAGTTTTATTGTTGGAAAACTGCTACAAAACTTCTCAACATCAGCAACAAGTGGATATCAAACTGTATATTTTATGCTTTTTGGACACAATAGATTCCCAGATTCACTTGTGATTATCACTGCCTTTTCATTAAACTGCTCTGTAAGGTGAACCAACTGCCAATAGGAAGATAACTTATCTGCATTTTTTTCCACTTTCCAGTATGGACTCTTTGTTTGGCGTTACCTGACTGAACGCCATTTCAAAGGCATGTAAAAAAATGAGCAGTCGTACTCACAGGCCACTTTGTTCTTCAGAGATTGGCTCAACCCACAGTGTGGACAGAGGGAAGACATGGTGGGTTGAAAACTGGTTGGGGGGGACAGAAAACAATTTCACAAACGTTTCACTGTAAAGTATTCAAATGTTAGTGCCTGTTATCTACTCATTTGCAAAATTGCTTCCTTTCAAAAAGATGCTTAATATGTCAGGATCCTTGGTTATAAATGTTTGTGCCATCCAAAAGCTATGATAATGCCACTGGGCAAGTTAAACAGCTATACTCATACTTACATGTCCCTATCTGAAGGGATAGACCCACAAAACAGATCCACAGATTCACAGATCCACAAAATGCTTCACTACTAGAGGCTCCCAAGTGGCTTAAAAGACAAATGATAAACCTTACTCTGAATGCGGGTTGTGCCTTATGCTCCAGGTTTTACAAGACTGAGACTGGGATTCTCCAAACAGTAAGAGCTGGGAGTAGTCAGTCTTGGCCAAACAGTATGTCTACTGTCACATTTCCTCCAATTGGCTCTGAACCTCCTAAACAGTAGGTAGCTTCAGAGTTCAAGGCATGTCAAAAGATGAACAGTGCAATGAAACATTGTGTTGGAGGAACTATGACAATGCACACTCTTTATGCAAGTACAGGCAGTGCCATTAGCTCTTTATTAACCAAGCAGTCAGGAGCTCAGTTTAACATTTCATCAACAGGATGAGATCTTCTATTCTGTTGTGTCCCCATTGCCAATATTTTGCAGTGGTTTGGAAAATTCTGGCACAGAGGGAAGAATGCCACAAACATCACTTAGAACAGCAGCCTCCCTAGAGTGTCTCACCAAGCTGACATTTCCCTGAAGTGCCATTTACAGTACTCCTGAAACAGTTTGGATAGATTCTCGCCTTTTTTTTTCATTTTCAGTCCACTTCTAGAGATACACTGCTGTGAAAAGCTCATTTTTGTGCAGGGGTGAAATGTCACATAACAATATTACTAATGGCTATTTTTAGCCACGGGATCCAACAGAGGAGATGGAAACTTAATGCAATTTGTGGTCTGTGTGTGAGAACAAGACCATTTAGAAGATGAGCTGTTTTTACCATAGATTTGGGTGAAGCACATTAATTGGAAAAAAAAAAACTGTAAAAGATCAACGATGGGGAAACCTTTTGGAAGAAAGACTATTTTGCCTAATTTATTAGCATAAGGTGTGCTAAAACAGAGACGATTAAAAAATGTAAGGTACAGTGCCCTGCAGAACATGTAGAAAAATACATTCCTGATTCTAATGTACATGAGGGTGAATGAACACATCTAAAATCATTGTGAGAAGGGGATAAATTTTAAAAAAAGAAAAAAACGAATCAACTTCCAATTACACAATTAGAATTATGCCTCAAACCTTAAGGCTTAGGTACTTTAATTATAACAGCCTTTGCCTCTACAAAAGTGTAATGAGTCAACATGTTATAGCATCAGATGACATTGTTATAACCTATCAAATAGAGCACTGCACCCCTCTGCATTGCAATATACTGTACAGTGAATGATCATTAATGAATTTCTGCAGTATCTGAAACCAAACCATTACACATCTCAACATTTTTACCATCTGGCTTTTATAATACTGGGAACAATTTTGGTCTCTGCACTACAAAGATGGCATTACTGCTCTGGAAGAAGTTCAAACAAGAGTAACAAGAATAATAGTGCATCAAAAAAAGAATAATGTACACAGGCATGTTCAAGGGCATACACGTCTTCAATCTTGAACAGAAGAGACGCTAAGAGATGCCGATGCAAGCAGCTGAAATCCTGAAAAGGAAAGTGAAGAACTCAAGGACAAGTGGAATTTTAAGGAAACTAAATTTACAGCTGGAAAGGAGTTTTTGCAATCACTCCTTGTTGCACTCACATTAAGTAACAAGATGTCAAGTTGCAGTCAAATTTAGTATCGCAGACAATACTAGCACCAAAGCAGAACAAACTTGTTTGCTTAAGCAAGACAAAGTAATCAGAGTCTTGTCAGCTACAGAACTAAAAAAAAAAATTGCTTTGCTTGCTTGGAAGTGTGGACGAGCTACTCAGCCACATTGTTGAAGGTGGCACCTTAGTGTCTTTCAAGTAAAGGCTAGTTGTGATTCTTGGCTTGTTAGTCTGTACAGATTTGTATTAGGATATTTTATTGTTATGTTTCCAAAACATTACCCCAAAGGCAACTCGGAAGTGTGTTTCTTCAGGATTTGCTGCTAAATGGTAAGATAATGGATAGTTAGAAACACAATATTCAGAAAAAGGCCTACTTTGTGGTTAAGCCAAGCGTGAAATGTATGAAAGCTGTTGTCAAGGGAAGCTCTGAGCAAACTGCGGAGCTAAGAAAAAGATTACCATATTAAAATTAGACTAGAAAATAACTGTAAAGCTAGTAAGTGAATTTCTATTTTCTCCATTGACTCCAGAAGCAATAAAAGTGTAACTACCAAGGCTTAAAGAACCTTCAGTGCAATAGCAATAAACCCAAATCACTTCAAATTTGGTAAACTGAGCTCCTCATGTCTTTGTCGCAATCCCGCAAAAACTAAACGGGAATATTGTAATTCTGTCCTCGGTTGTGTATATTAAAGCTTGTATTACTATTTTCTTAATCATTCACCCCAGTACTAGACCACCTAAACCAAAACAGTGGAGTCTGGAGAAGAATATTGGCTGAGATAGGTACAAGCAGAAGTTAATTCCAAACTGAAAAAAAAAAAAAAAAAGCTTTTAGCTGTGAACCTTTCTTCTGTGAGTGTAAGACAGACTTGTGCTAGGTCTTCACTCATTCACTTTACTGAATGCACCTTTGTGGAGTCCAGTCAGAAAGAGATAATTACAGCTTAAAGCCTTGGTTGTTACTGATTAAATATTATATACTGTATAAAAACAGTAACGGGATACACAGCTGGGCTTGGCTTGTCAGGCCTGACCCCAATCATAGGAATTGGGGGCAGTTCTTCAGTAGTTTCCAAATGATTTGCTCAGTAAAGGAATAGACCATGTCTGGACTGTTACGACATTCTGTATCTAACAGGGGAAAAATCTAAAATGTAGAAATCAATGCTACAAAACACATTTGTGGACAAACTCAAGTTGGGAACGCATTACAATCTGCAACTTATAAAACATTTTGTAAACAAAGGTTACTTTTAAACAGACATGAGTCTATCTCAGTCACTATTCCAAATGCTCTAGGTCTGAAATGGAAGGAAATTGATACCTTTACATTTGGACTGTTAATTCTATTCCACATGGAGTTTAATCTGAAAACCAAAGTAGAATATTTCACATTGCTGTCTTCATTATCTGGGATAATAAATAATAATTTTATGGGAGCAGAAAATAAAAAATTAAGTCCAGCTACAGAGTTTGATACTAGTTCATCAGTGCTTGCACATTTAACTCTGTTGTCTAGCGACAAAAATGAGTTAAAGGAGCCAGGTTAATTATTCTGGATTTCTATCATCACCTACTGTATACTCTAACTGTGCACAAATGATAAATGAAGAACAGATTGTGCCTTGCTGTGCAGACACAAAACAAGACTACAAGCAGCTGCAACAGCACTATATTCAATGGTGCCTATTTGACTATATTTGACTTTTGTTTTGAAAGTTACTGAAGACTATAAAGACACATTTTTCCCCAAGCCAAGCTTTGCAAACTACTGTCAGCTGTCTGAAACTACAGTATACTTACAAAGGTCTTATATGGGTGAAAGCCCTGACAGGATAAAGACAGATCATAAAAACCAAATCAAAACTGTAGTCTTACAGTTAATTAATTCAACAATGTTTTAAAAAGGGTTGGAAAGCAACATACAGTATTAAACAACCCTACTGTAGAAAGTCCATACAATAATCAATAACTGTATAAAAGACCACAACATACTATATCAGGTGTTGGATATTTCTTCCTTTTTTCATATAAATGGTATTGATGGACAGCCATGCTGCAGACATGTTCCATTTATTAATAGCATAACTATGTCAAGAAACATGGGACATTTTCTCTAGATAAGCCAAATCAAATTACAGGGACCAAAAATTGGACTGCCGGTGCTGCCACATAAAGACTGGTGGATCTGTTCAATCTTCCCAATTTCTGCAGTCTGACCATTTGCTGAAGACCTTGCAGGACACACAAGCCCTACTATACACAAGGTACTACTGTATATATGGGCATTTACCTTCCTTGTGCTTCTGCTTGTGTGATAACGGTTGCCTTATTTCTGTATCAAGTCTGTTTCATTGAGGAAAGTTGAAACCATGTCACATGAACACAACGTTACATATGAGGACAGCAGAAGTAAATAAGCTTAGCCTCCAGATGATTAAAAAATGTTCAGACTAGTGTTCAAAGATGCTGATTTCAGAATCAACATAATATATGTCAAGGAAACACCTTTAAAGACGCTATATAAAATAACGTTTATTATTATCATCATTACACTAGGTATATTAACTTAATGCGTTGTGTTGAAATCAATTTAAGCAGAATTGCCGTTTCCTTTTTTCTTTCAAAGTTCAACAAAAATTAGAAAAGCAAAGAGCCTTCAAATATCAATCATTTATGACTTGAAAGCACAGCTACTGTATTTCTTAGTGCAAGAACACAGATCGCTTATATTATGAACGCAAGACAACACACTGGAAATATTTCCGTGAAGCTGGATCCATTAGCATGTTGTATGTTGTGAAAGCCAGCGTTTCCTACTTCAGTTTTGGACCCGCAGCTCTGAGCGGCCCTCACCTGTGCGTGCACCAGGGCGTCGTTGAAGAGGATAAACCAGTTGACGGAGAATCTCCCTGCGTTCTGCAGGGTCAAGGCCTTGTTGCTGCTTTCACAGATGAGCCGCCGGGAGGGTTTCCTGAGAGAGTCCTTTTAAGAGAACCACATCCCTTCATTTGAATTCTTCCGAGGTTACGAGAAGAGAACTACAATGCTATTTTTATAGTTTGGGGTTAAAAACAATCAGCGTTGATGAGTGCACTTCATACCACAAGAAAGTAAAATGTACACTATAACTTCCAAAACATCCAATTTAGATCACAATATAGACCAGATTTCCAGGTACTGTACGTGCAGCATCATGTTCTAGTATTCAGAACGAGGCAACAGGACTTATAGTCACATGTTGGAGCCTAATTACATTTTAAACAAGCAGGCTTTTGAATACATCTCTTGAAATATTGCTTTCGACTTCAAGACAGTTAACTCTGCATGCAGATCACATTGGAACATTCCTGAGGTGAAATGTCTGTGGCACAACCTGTATTTATTCGCTCAAGATATTACTCATTATAGTGACTAGTGAGCAGGAAGGGCCACTTTATATCACAATAGTAAACTACTTCATCAACATTCAAGTGACTTACTCATTAGATAAAAAGCATGTTAATAGTTCATGGAAAGTAATGATTGGGTTTTAGCTTTGTTTCAGAATGGAGAGGGAAATCACAAACTGGTATACTTCAAAAACACAAAAGAAAAGAAACACACCGTCATTTTTCCTGGGAAAGTCTTCCAAAAGTGGTAGGTGTATTCGGAATCCTTCCTCTTCCTTTTCAAATGGATAGCTAGTGCTTCATACTTAGAACTGCCATCTTGTAGACTCTGATAATCGGGGGCAGTCTAGAAATGACAAGAAATGAATCAGAAACATGAATGAAAGCTGGCTCTGTCATATAAATGTGGCCATTACTTTACTGATGGGATATACTATAAGTTGATATTTTTGCCTTCACAGATACACAGTTTCTGTATGTTTGCAGGTACTGTATTGCTATTATTACTATTAAAATATTATTAAAAATATTAGTTTTCTCTATACTTTTACCCCAAGGTGAGTTTAAAGTAAAGTAAAACAAGAAAACCAGAAGTCTAAACAAGAAAGCAAATCAATTAAAGGCATCAATTAATGCTGGTGATGTAGAAAGGAAGTAAGACATAAAATAATAGTCCCTCAAGATTTCAGATTCTGACAGATTTTTAATCAATCTGAATTTATCAGTAGAGTATATATGGTAATTGAAACAACTTGAAACATCAATTAAAAAACCATACCCACATCATAATTTTTAATTCCCTATTTATTAATTAATTAATACAGCCTGTAGCTGTGATCGGTGCTGTCCTGCTCACTAAGGTGCTGCCAGGTGTCCATACCTACCACTTCGAAGCAGGTGGCCAGTTTGAGCAGCACTCTGCCGTACTCGTGCAGGTGTCTGATGGGTAGGTAGAGCAGCACCTGCAGCAGGTCACAGAGGGGCACGCTCTCGTCGTTGGTTTCCGAAAGCCGGTGCAGAAGCTCCGGGCTTTTGCCGAAGAAGTCACTGGAAATCAAAAATCCGGACAATCGGGTCAGGCAACAACCCCAATCCCAGACTCATCTGCGAAGGACAAGGACTGTAATGCAATGGGTAGTGGACCAAGGCTATTGAGAAGGGAGTTCAGGCTGTTGGCTGAGCTTAGGCAGTACCTCTGCTGAAAAGAGTTCTTGGTAAAACTAAACAATGTCGTGTTTTGTGACTGATATTTGATTTTTTCCAGTTTTGCACAAAAAAGAAAAGCTTTCATACAGCGCTGGAGAGCACTGCCCTCACCTGACTGCTTTAAGCTAGAAAAAGTCCGAAGAGTTTGAACGTCATTGCCTGGCACTTATTTTCCTGCGATTGCTCCCCTCTGTTCTCTCCCACACATTCCAATTGAATTGAACACCAAGTGTGGAAGAGAGCTGCATTGCTCATTTCAGGTCAAGAAGTTAAGGAACTGAACAAAAGCTGCGTCTGGAGATGCTCCCCTTTCTAACCCTTAGAAGAAGGTAATCTGTCTTGGGCTCATCTTTATTCAGTTCCTTGGTTTTTGCATTATAATTCTTAACCAAAAAAAAATACCCATTTTGTTCTGTTTAAGTCTAGTTTTACAATATATACTGGTCTTGCAGCATTGCTGTGTCCGCAAATTTTCATTCCAGCTTGGCTTTTAACGGCTCAGTTTCCCTAAACCATAGCTTTAATATACTCGTTTATCCGTTTTCGCCTTCAGTTCGACGCTTGATCAATAATAACGCAGTGAAACACAGACATCAGTCAAGCGGAAACAAGAGACATCTTACAAATGATCTGCGGACGAGAGTTTCACCTTGCTTGTTTCCTAAACGGGTATCAAATTTGCTCAACCACTAACATAACAACACAACAACTTTCCATCAGATTCTTCCCAAAATGGACTTCAGAATTAATAAGAAGCCAATTTGAAATATTTGTGGTTTTGGTATTGCCAGGACATTTTGAAAAATGTCAAGCTGAAATAAGTTACTACTTCTTCCAGGTGTTAAGTAGCTAGCACACCACGTTCATGAGCCTTTCTGCCAAGCTGTTTGAGCAAGGACCTAATTGGAAGAATAATGACGTAACACATGAGCAAAACTGTTTTTTTTATACTTTTTACTTAATTACAGAAATGTAGCTATTGCTTAAATCATCTGGGGTGGTACGTTTCTCCATGGTCCTTATACAGGTGCTTGAAGTGTGAAATGAAGGCACTTGTAGAGCAACAATGGCGAGGAGCTGTTGCTCTATTACTCACAGTGAGGGCTTGGCGAGAGCTTGAAATCCACCCATCACAAGGAAATTCCCCACAGAGTTACAGTATCTATAAGAGAGAAAGACTGGTTCAGGGAAACAAACATCGGACAGCTTGAAAAGGTGCCACCGAATACTCTATGAAGCCCAGCTAGATACAGTAGCAACACTTGGGTATGTGTCACAGTGGTCAGGGCTCATGTTAAAAAAACTTTCACAGGGTGTTTTGAATGGGAGAGCAATTTGTACAGTGCTGGGAAAAGTTTTGTGACCCCCTTAGGTTGGTCCATATTTTCATATATTTTAGACCGCAAGAGCAATTCAATCTTAAAGGTCTTAACAAAACATGAAAATAACCCAATTAAATGTAGTGTTTAACACAAAGACATCGCATCTACTGTATTTGGATTAATTAATTTACAATCCTCGAAGAGCAAATATCCTTGTGGACCCTCAGCTTCAGTAACTGGTAGCACCTCCTTGAGCAGCAAAGACTTCAACTAGGCGTTTCCTTTAATTGTTTGTCTCTTGCATCAGCTTTTAGGAATTGTGGCGAACTTTTCTTTATTGAACTACTTCAAATGGGTGACATTTTAGGGTTTCCTTGCACGAACAGGTTACCGCGGGTCTGCCATAACATTTCAGTGATGTTGAAGTCTGAATTCTCACTTGGCCAACCCAAAATGACTTTTTTTCTTCCTCAGCTTTTATTTTGTCGATCTGCTTGAGTGCTTAAGATTAATGTTTTGTTTCAAGACATGATAGTTTGCAAAGAAGGCAGGCATCCTAATGTTAATGTAATTTCTTGAATGGCTTACTGCCCATCTAAACTGAATCGCAGGAAGATGTCTAAACCAGGAGCAGAAATCTGTCTTAACTTCTCAAGCTTCCAACAGTGCTTCAGCTGAACATAAGGCTTTTGGCGAATCAGGCTGAGACTTTCCACTTAACCCCATACAATCCGGCTAAATTTAATTTCACTCCAGAATCAGCCGAAATTGAGCCCCTAAAAGTGGGGATACGTAACATGTAACAAAACATGTTTCTGATGCCATGTCTTTGTGGCATGCCGATCCCTGATCCCGAGACTGAAATAACCCTCAAGGTCCTGCTTGATTCTGGATTTGAAAAAAAGCTGAAAGAAGAGTATCACTGAAGAAAACAAAAAAAGAACATCCAGAGTATTTCTGTTTTGACCTCCCTCTTCACGTGTGCTAAACAGAAAGGTACAATTTTTAACGCGGCTGCGCGCTACTGCCCTGACGGTAGATTCCCCTTCAGTCCAGACCCCCCCCCCCCCACAGCGCCTCAGAAGCGCTTCCCGTGTGGTGTACTTGCTCTTTGTAAGTGTCCAGAAATATCCCCGCGTGCTCCAACATCACCAGCTCCTTCACCTCCTTGCTGCGCCGGATGAAGGTGCTGAGGGAGGCGGCGTGCTGGCCGGTCAGGTAACACAGTCTGCTGAAGCGGCTGGCCATCGTCTGGAGCAAGAGGCTGGAGGTGGGGCCCAGGGCTGAGCAGAGGTTCTCTGGACGGGGTAAACGACACGGGGCCCCCGATCACCGAACTTGAACTTTATTGCCATATGTAACCAGTACATGTACTGGAACAATGGAATTCTTACTTACAGAAAGTCTCTCGACTTAAAACAAGTGTAAAAACACAAAGTGCTGACAGTGCATCAAGACAATATACCAATAAACAGTAGACAATGTACAAGTAAACAAGTAAACAGCTTGAATGTAAACAGTGCAGACCTGAAAAACAATGACGGGAGATGTGCAATAAATAAGAAATCGTAATGAGGTAGATGGTGTAGGTGTGGTCCGAGGGGCACGGCTAAATGTGGTCGCCAGTTGCGCTGCTTGTGGGTAAAAGCTATTGAAAGGACCTATACTGCTGATCAGAAGCGCTTCTGCCCGGCGAGGACCTCGGAATGAAACGCCATGATTCTAAACTAGGAAGAACCGCCCAAAAACTGTGGTATGCATGATCAGACACAAGCGGAAAGCAAAATACAGGGGCCGACTGCAATAAATGCATAGTGATGCAAACAAATGATGTGGAAAGAACTAATTAGGGGCACCTAAAATGTCTATACTATAAGGAGCACCTAACAGGCATGCATTTTTATTAGTGGGGTGACAAGCTAATCAATACCCTTCTTATAATAAACTGCAGCAAGACTTAGATGCTTTAAAAAACTTAACGGAATCAACACAAGCTTAATTGATCACAGTCAGACTGTTCCAGGCCTTTATAAACATTCATTTATCAACGGATGCTTCTCTAGGACCAGAGACGGAGACCCCTGGTTTACGTGATGACTTCTGTTAACAATATTTGTGAATAAGATCTGTAGGTGGCAAACATACTACAGACATATTTTAGATACATGCCATCAGGTTTTTTTAAACGGCATAAATACTGATTATCTGTTGCAAAAGAAAAAAATAAGATGTTAAAACGACAGCTTTGATTTCCAAATGCAAATTGACTTTATGCTGCGTTCCGTATTATAAATACTATAGATTTGTTAATATATTCATTAAATAGCAATGCATTGAGTTCTTTGGATATTCTATAGAACTTGAGGATAGCTGTGATAGATTCCATCCCACCCTAAAAGAGAATTCTTCTAAGCTAACATACTCAAATTCTACATAACTTGCATTAACATATGTGATGGGACACCTGGCACTTGAAATGCTTTCCATACAAGATGGCCATAGTAACAAGCGGACTTTTCAGAAAGCAGATGGGGGTGTGGCACTGCATCAGAATGTTTTAATGAGCAAAACGCACTGGTGTCAAGGATGTGCTGCTGCACACAGACTGCACATGGTCTCCATGAATATATTTCACAATTTTTACCTTTCTCTACCATGTGTTGTGTAGAAAAAGATATGACACACAAAAGTTGTTGAGACTGAACAAACTGAACATTTTTACAAACACTCAAACACTCAAACACTCAAACACTCAAACACTCAAACACTCAAACACTCAAACA